TGCATAATTGAGTGATTAATCGCCATGCACTAATGATCATTATTAAGGCATTCGTTGTGTGTGTGGGGGTTAATGATCGTTAATTATAACATTAATATGTCACTTCATTTAAATTTGTCATAAATAATTAGAGATTAATGATCAGTTAACTCAGTAAAAATTGACTAATTTTGAATAATGCATGAAAGTAATACTCCATAGAAGATTGCTCATAAAATGTGTATGTGCATGCATCAGCCATACCTATACTCTTTTATTTAACGAGTCAATTTTGAGAATCAAATTCTCATTCACCATTTCTACCATTTTTGGCGTATAATATATTAAAAATATTAATTTATCTCTTTTAAGAGAATTTACATCCATTAATTAACGGTTAAAATTGTTTATGGACCTATTGATAATTATGCCTAAAGTGGGAACATTTAATGCTCATTAAATTTTCAAAAATTCCAACGATAGCTTTCAAAAAAAACAATGTAGTATCTATTTATACATATTTTCTCAATGCATCTAAGCATAAAGAGTTACTTCTTCTATAGAGATTCGAACTTGGGACCTCCCGTTTCAGAGAGTGACGCTGATATTGCTCGATCGCAAATATTTCGTAAATAATTAATTTGAATTTAATTTTTGCGGAACATAATTAATATAACTCGTAATTATATCAAAATCATTTAATATCTCTCTATTTACAACAGTAGCAAGAAAATATTCCCGCTCAAAATTTTACGCGTGAACAGTAAAAAATATAGGGATAGTCTGCAACTTGCCCAATCAAACCGCTCACATGTTACTCTCTCTCTCTTCTAACCGCTACTTGACGTTTTCTAAATCGCTGCTTTTCTTAGAGCATGCGCAGCGGCGAGGCATTTCTTCACTCGCTGCGCCACATCAGCTCCCTCGCCACTTTTGCCTCGCGTGGCTCAGCCTCCCTCCACGCCAAGCGTGTGAGGCGCGAGGCATCCTCAATTTTTTTTTATTTTTTTTATTTTTTTTATTTTTTAGAAAAATAATTTTTTTTAAAAAAGAGTACATCTATATAAAAAAGATAAATGAAATAATTTTTAATAATTAAAATGCTATAAAAAATCATAAAAATTGACAAAAACAATGACTTGCCACTGTACGAAATGCCTCTCCACTCACTTGCCACACGCTGACTGGATTGTCTTTTATTGGTTGAAATGTGTCACGTCAACGTGTGACATTCCATTTCGTTACTTGCCATTCCCGTGCTCTTATTCCAGATTTCATCCACAGAGTCGATTTCTTCTTTGATCATCTTTCGAGGTACGCTTTACATTATCGTGGCTTAGTTTGTAGAATTGGGGGAGAAATTTTCACCCCAGAATTGTAGTGGTTCGCACATATCTTTAGGTAGTTTTGTAATGTGTTTGGTGCCTTTTTTTTCTTCTTTTTAGTTTTATTGTATTGTTGGACACCTTTGTAAATGTTCCTTAAGGTCACAAAAAGGTCACGTCCATTTTCAGTTTGAAGATTCACATAGGCAAAGAGGAGTCACCACCTGTTCGATGAAATGTCCCAGTGAGTCATGTGAACAGAACTCCAATTTCTGACGCTACTATGGTACTCCGGATCCCTTAAGTTCATGCTCAGGTGAGAATTTTGTTAGTCTTTAAATATTTCGAACTTATAATTTTTCCTCAATCAATTGGTTAAATCAATTATTATTGAGAGTCTTTTGATTTTTATGGGAATTTTTGTTAGTCTTTAAATATTTTGAACTTATAATTTTATCTTCATCTCTTTTATTAACAATGTCTAATTATTTGTTATCAGTTCCAAGTATGTTTGAAAAGGTAATTTCCGTTTCCTTGGAGTTGTAATTTAAGAATTAGAAGAGAGATTTATGTTTGTTTATTTAAACTTAGTTATTGTGTCAACCCTAAATTTTGTTTGGATTTTTTTGTAGATTAGTCAACTAAATATGTAATTTGAGTGTTGAGTGTTTGATTTACAAGTAATTAGGAGTATGACCTAGATATTTCACGGGTGGTTGGAGGGTGTCCTATGTGGCCAATCGCACATGACCCATAAAATTTTAGGACCCTATTTTTTAAAATTTGTTAATAATTTTAAAGAAAAAATATTTTTAAAAATAAAATAGGACCCAAAATGAAGATTTTGGACCTGGCCAAATTTATTTTTTCATTTTTCGGGCCGGCCCTGAGATACTCCTTTAGGTCATACTTCTATTTACAACTTTAAATATGTACGTTTCATTTTTACTTATTTTTATCAATATTTCAATAAAATGGATTAAAAAATTTAAATTTTTTTTAGGAGTAGTCTTTGATGCAAAAAACGGGAAAAGAAAAATACTCCGGGTATGAAATAAAATAAGAGGGTTATGCTACACTTACACCAGAAATTGTACCACATTTGTACACCGCAGTTATACACAAACATTTTAATGGTTTACACCGACATAAGTGTTGGTGCATTAACAAAAATTTATACGGACACAAAGTGTTGGTGCATTAATAAAAATTAGTTTTACACCAACACAAAGTGTTGGTGCAAAGCTACAGGGTACAAAATGGGGTACAAAACATGGGGTACAAATAGCTTTAGCCAAAATAAGAAGCAGGCGGGCCTGAATCTTCGCGGCATTGTTGCAGACAAATTTTCTTCCCATCTGCCGTCAGGCCAAAAGTCACTGCTCACTCTTCTCCCTTTCTTACTATTCCCTTCATTCTTTATTATCCTTTTCAAAGACATTTTAAACACTTGTTCCCTTATTAGTTATTGTTACTTTTACAATATTTGAGTGAAGTATTTTTAATTTAAGTATTTGAAATTTGTGTGGATGAGAAATAAAAATGATAAATTTAAATACTACCTTCATTCTAGAGTATTTGTCCACTTTCATTTTTACACACCATCCAATACACTTCTTTAATCCATTTTATCTTGTAATTTGTATATTATATTAATAATCTATATGTTAAGACAAATCAAACAAGATTACACATGACTATATTTAGGCTTACACATTGAGAGAATTTGATGAGTCAAACTGTCAAAGTGTTTAGATGAACAGTTCCTAAAGTCAAAATTGGACGAATACTCCGGGACGGAGAGAGTATTTGTAAAATAACAAATAACGCTTTATAGCTTGAATGAATAGAAGAGGAATACAAAGTATGTATTTATAGGTGGAGGAGTATATTCTAGAATCCTCTACATTAATGACTAATTATATAAGGCAATATTATATAATAATAACTCTAACTATAATAGGTAACAACCATAATTATAATATATAATATTAAATAATTTATATATTTAACATGTTCCCAACGTCCTGAACAGTGAAGATTGAACGCCAACTTGAATCGTGACCAGAATTGTAATCAAAAGCTAGAGACATATCTTCGGCTAGAATAGACTGAATGCATCCGGCCTAAAAGAAAAGAAAAAAGATTGCCAGAAAAGAGATGTGAAGGTGCTGATGAGGAGAGGAGAAAAGCCGCTGCGAACAGACTCATGCTGCTGACGTCGAAAGAGGGAGAAGGTTGACGTGCGCTGGAGTCGTACGTGCGCGACTGGGTTAGAGAAGAAACACAATGAATGAGGTACTGCCGGAGATGCATGTTGACCGAAGATCTACCCACTAAGCAGGTTGAGGTGATGATCTTGGCGCCAGTAGTTTGGGGGAGTAGGGGTCGCCGGTCAGAGCTGCGGCGATTAGGAGAACAGGATGGCGTTAGAGACGCCGATGACTATAAGAGATATGTTTTTGTATAATGGAAGAATTTATCCACCGGGACAGAGTTGCGCTGTCAATTTAGGAGGAGGATGGCGGCAGTGGATGCTCGGTTCGATCTCGACCATCAATTTGAAGAAGAAGAGCAATTGCTGAGGGCGACACCAGTGGAAGATGTGGCGGCAGTAGGAATTGATTTAGACCTCTTTTTTTTAAGTCGTCGGACAACAAAAAACTAGAAAACGTTGTAGTTTTAGGAGATGGTGAAGAATTTGGGTCAGAGGAAAACAGTGATCCGGCAGGCGACGGTTAATGGCGGTGCCGCCCGCCAGAAGTGAAAGCGGAGAAATTTAGGTCACCAAGAACGGTGACTCCGATACCATGTAAAATAACAAATAACGCTTTATAGCTTGAATGAATAGAAGAGGAATACAAAGTATGTATTTATAGGTGGAGGAGTATATTCTAGAATCCTCTACATTAATGACTAATTATATAAGGCAATATTATATAATAATAACTCTAACTATAATAGGTAACAACCATAATTATAATATATAATATTAAATAATTTATATATTTAACAGTATTACATAAAAAATATTTTGAAACAAGAAGTGAGATAACTATTTATTTTTATCAAATAAATATAAAAAAATAATTTTTTGAACAGTGAAAAATGTAATGTAGATTGGAACAAAGGGAGCATTATCCTTACAAACATAATACTCCGATCCTTGATTGCAATAGTTAAATTTCTTCATCATTCACATATTTCGGCCTTTCCTTCGGCCTTTGCCAACTACCCCAAGTGTAGCCTTGTGATCACTAGTCATTATTTTTCTAAAAATAAAAATTAGTAAAAAGTTTTTAAAAAATAAAAGTTAAAGAAAACCATAAAAATAATAACGTTAAAAATAATAAAGATGTAAACAACCAAAAACAATTTTTGTACTTTACTTTTTATTATATGTAATTTACATAATATGTGTGTTCACTTATGTAATTTTTAATAAAATGTACTCATTTTACTATACGTAATTTGTTTGTTAACTTTCTAATCCTTTCGTCCCTCAAAACATTTCTTGATTTGATTTTTAAGAGATTAAGAAGAGTATATTTTGATGTTAACTTTTCAAAAATGTTTTTGGATGTGATAGGTAAAAGTAGATGTGATGGATAGATTAGTAGTGAAAAAGTGTGATGTGATTGGTAAGTTAAGAATTAGTAGAGATAAAAATAGATTTTTAATAAAAGTGAGAAAAGTTTTTTGGAACAAATGAAAAAAGTAAAGGAGAAAGCTAAGATTTTGTGGGACGAAGAGAGTATAATGTTTTCTACATACTTTTAATAAATGCTCAGCACATTGTAATTTTTTACGTTATTAAATTTTTGTATTGCTTAATTTTATTTATAAATGAATTTGGCAGAAAAGACAATGCATAGTAAAATTATATACTAGATAATTGATTTAATATAAATAACTTTAATGAAATAAAAGATAATAGAATGATGATGTGCATGATATCTGAAGATATCAAATTCGACCACGTGAAGAGTGCACATGGTATCTAGAGATGTCGAATTTGATATCTCTTTTGGCTTTATCAAACGCCAGAAAATGATCTTGATATCCAAAGATATCAAAACCCATATCATTTTTGATCACTAAACACACCCTTAAGTAATATACAAATATAAAAGATCACGTACAAAATAGTGTGCATGAAAAATAATTAAGGGACGCACATTCTGCAATATCTAAAATTGAAATAAGTTTTTACTCGTAATATTTTTAGAGTCGGTTCTGATTATTCAAATGCTCTGAACGAAACGAAGAAAAGGACCCTATTAAATTAAGTTATACGGAGTACAATCGTTTTTTTAAAAATAATTAACATTGTAGTAATGTACATAACAAAAAATCATAATACTATATTTAAATATTGTAATAAGTACATTAAAAAGTTAAGCTTATAAATTTTCTATTAAAAATAAATATAATATATATTTTTTAAAATATTTTGGGCCCAAACAAAAAGCCCGAGCGGGAAGCGCACCTCACCACTCTCTTGGACCGACCTTGTGCGTGCGTGCGCGTAAATTACATTGTATATTAATAACATAATTTTTTGAAAATATTTCATACGATAAATTTAATTAAACCAGTTTTGTCCAAATATGCAAAGGAATTTTTATTTAATTGATTTTCAGAATTTGTTTATTTTGACTTTATAAAGTTAAATTAGACAAACATTTTAAGGAGTGAATACTATAAAAAATATGCGACTTTTTTATATAAAAAAGTGACAATTATTAAAATATAGTTTTTATTTTTTAAATTATAATAATTACTCCATTTTAGTGTATTTATCCAGTTTTATTTTTTCAAGTCAATCTAGACAATTTTAAGTTTCAATTACTTTTAATTTGTATTGAATACTAGTATAATAGAATAAAAATTTTGTAGTTCTTAACAAAATAAATCTAATAAAATCAATTGTATGTTAATATACATTGTAATTTAATTAAAGATCAAATTTAATTTTACTTGACTTGAAAAGGTCAAACTCGACAAATATACTTGGACAGAGAGACTAAGAGAATATAATCATACAATTTTATAGCTCTACATTTTCTAAAATGAAACTCTCTCCATATTTAAATTAACTTAAAAATTAGTATCCACACATTAAAGTATTCTCAACGCCAAGAAAATGTTCTATTTTTGAATTGACACAGAATTTAATGAAAGTGAAATTATCGACTTAAAGCGATGCTCATCAGAGATAAGAACATGTCTATGCAAGTCCTATTTTATCTTATTTTTCTTAGTTGGCATGTAAGTGACACTAATGTTTAGTTTCATAACATTAGATGAAAAAAAAATGAAACTGGTCCCTCTAAATTGAGACTGTCGCAACACATTCCATCTCCCTTATTTATTTATTTATTCAAATAGGCAGGACTCTAAAATGGGATCTTGGATTAAAGATGAGAGTTACATAAATTTTGTTATTATCTTACATGAAAAATTTAACATCATTTCTAGTAAAATTTGAGATTCATCATTGACATGCTCTAAGTCATAAGGTCACATTTTTTTGTTTTATTAGTAGATAGTGAAACTTTTTTCGACAAATAGAAAAAATAAATATGAAATTTTATTATTGGAGAAAGTATGTTTGTGTTTGTGGTCTATTTAGGTCATGTTATATATTTTTATTGGTCATTTATTAAAATAACACCTCTATATCCCATAAAAAACTTATCACATCAATTTTCACGGATGTTAAGAAAATTATTTAAAAATGTAATCTTAATTTGAGTTATTTAGAGTAAGGCCATGTTCTCCCCAGTTTATTTTTTCACTTATTGTTTATTTTTATTGGAATCAGACCATATCATATCAGACCTGATAATATCAAAGCAGAAATAGCTTTAAATATAACTACATTCAGATATGATCAGACCAGATACAAAATTATTCCAATGAAATCAGAATTAATCAGATCTGGTGAAAAGAACATGACCTAAATAGACCCATAAAAATACAAAGAGAAAAAGGATGAGACCCATCTCTGAGGACCTCATAATCAGTTGGACGATCACCTGAAACGAGATAAAATGAGTTTAAAAGACACACTGATTGGTAAATAATGGATCATATCCTACATCTGGTATTTGCAGAGAGACTCTATGTTTAACGTATTTAATTCTAAACACAATCACAAAAAACTAAATTCAAGTATTACACCCTACTTGACATCTCTTGTCTTGCAAATAATGTTACCCCTTTCCAAAAGAAATTGAATACAAAGAAAAAAAGATGAGTCTCGTTCTCAAAAGCTGCGACAGAACCGATCAAACGGTCACTTGAAGTGAGGACAGAGAAGAGAGATAGATATAGAGAGGGGGTATAAAACACATGTGACGACAACAACAATAGATGCTGCGGAAAAGCCCCTGTGGATGGACGCCGGATGGCAGATGAACACCGCTACAATCCCCCCCTCATAACCCTCCACTTGCTCCCCTCTCCCTACCGGCATCTGTTCCCACACACCTCCCCCAATCCCAATCCCCTGTTTTCAAAATTCTCATAAATCCCCTTTATATTTAAACCCCATCCATCTTCTTCGTTCTCTTCCCTCTCCCCTCCCCTCCCCTCCTTGGGAAAGAAAGAAAGATTATTATAAATAAAAGGCTTTGTCGTTTCACTTCTCCCCCCTTCTCTCTTTTGGGAAACACCAAAAGATTCAATCTTTCTTCGCTAATTCTGTAAAAAAAAAAGCACCCCAATTTGATCTTTCTCCGAATTGAAGAATATGATGATGGTTTAGCTTGATTATAAATTCCTTGAGTTGGTTTCCTTTTTTATTTTAGATATTCTTGGGGTTTTTTAAATCTATCATCAATAATGGCGCCGGAGAACAATTGGTTATCGTTTGCTGTCTCGTCGGCGGAGATGATGAACTCGTCGTCGTCGTCCTCTCAGCCGCCGGACGCCGCCTTTGCTCCGGCGGACCCGCACCATTATTACTTCGCCGATCATTTCTATGCAAATGGTAAGCGTCACTCGAGTGTGTGTGTGGGAATGGTTAATAAAGTTCGAGTCAAAATTTATTTTTCTATTTGGTTTATTTCTTTCTCAGAATCCCCGAAATAACGTTTTCTGTTTTGGTGGTAAGTGGGCATGGAAAACTGGGAAGATGACAAGAAAAAGGCAAAGTCTTGTTTGGGTCGCGTTTTCTAATTTCTGCTCTGCTTTTTGGATTAACCTTCTTGGGGTTGTTTAGCTCAGAATGGATATTTTGCTCAGCTTTCTTTTTGGGTTAGATTTCCAATTCAAAATCTATGGCTGATAGGATTTTCTTTTTCTTTTTTTTGATTTTTACGAGCGCAGGTTGGGTGAACCCGAAGCCGGAAATGATGTATTCGCCGGAGGATGAGAGCCGGGACAACGAGGTCGCCGGACTTAGCCTGAACGGAGAGCCGTCGGCCTTCCACGCCTTCATGGAGTCGCACATCCACCACCCGCCGCCGCTGGAGGACTTCCTCGGCGGGTGCGGGGACTCAACCGCCTTGGTCCGGTACTCGGAGCGGCAGACGGAGACGCAGGACTCGTCGTCTCTGACCCACATCTACCACGGCGCCGGCGCCGGCGCCGGCGAGGCTTACTTCAACGACCAGCAAGATCTGAAGGCTATAACCGGATTCCAAGCGTTCCCCACGAACTCCGGCTCCGACGTGGACGACTCCGCCTCCGTCGCCCGAACCCAGACGATGACCGGCGCCGGAGACTCTGTGAACGCGATGGGCTACCCACACTGCCAGACCGGCACTCTGTCTCTGGCCGTGAATCCCCAGAACTCCGACAAGACCGCCATTGTTCCCGTCGACCCGGAGAGCTGCAAGAAACTGGCTGACACCTTCGGGCAGAGAACCTCGATTTACAGAGGGGTCACAAGGTCGCCATTATTCTTTCTTTCCTTCATTCTCTCTGCTAAATAAAACAAAAAAAGAAAGAAAAAGATCCAATTTTTATTCCTCTTTTGGAGCATTATCCGGCTCAAAAAAATGGGTTTTGATTGAAAAGAATGAAAATGAAAAGAAGTGGTGGGGGGGTTTCGCCATTGTTGCAGACATAGGTGGACAGGAAGGTACGAAGCGCATCTATGGGATAACAGCTGTAGAAGGGAGGGTCAAGCAAGAAAAGGCCGTCAAGGTACACACAACATTACTTAATTACACTCCGCCACCACTTACACACACACTCTCTCCTTTTGCTTTTTCATCCATCATTTCACACCATCATATCATACTTATTTCATCTCATAATGTTGCACTTATTAAATGTGTTCAAATGTGATTAGATTCATCATCATCATTCTTCAAAAAAAAAAAGATTCATCATCATTTGGAAAAATAGAAAATTTTTCTTTATTGTAAGTTTGTGAAGTTTGAGTTTGTGAACCAAATATTTCCCTTAGAATAATTTTAGTTTTTTCTTGATAAATTTATATTACTAAAAGTTATTCAAAACACTAGTACTGATGGAAAATATTATTTCTAAAAATGTCCTTAACTCCCCCCACTTCTATTATGATCTTCTCATGAACATCTAGAGCTCTTAATATTGAGTGTATGTGATGGAGTGTATGTGATGGAGGATGTCCTAATTTGAACCTTTTGAAATAACAAAATTGTTTTTGAATGACAAAATCCTAGGGTTTTTCTACAATGACATCACTATTTTGGCCAATTTACATTATGCAATAAGTAATTGTTCGTGACATAGCGATACGAATTTAATTTCGTAAGAGAAACACTCTTTTCAAAGGATGTGTTTGTTTGGAGGGACAAAAACGTTGGGAATTTTGTTTCACACCGGTTGCTTTATAGGTTTACAATCGTTATTATGAGAAGTTGTTAGGAATAAAAAGTGACGATATACAATAATTATTTTGTGTGTATTTTTTGTAAATATATAGGTTGACCATAACAATTTAGGGAGTAAAAAAGGTACTTAATAAAGAGTAATTGTTCTCAATTGGCTAAAATTCAAATGAAATATCTCAAAACATATTTTACCATTTTAAGATCAATAAAATCCTTCCCATATTACAATCCAAATAAATATATATGCCAATTTTGAATTTATTATATGATCATTTAATATTCACCCCGTCCTATATACCTATTTTTATGCACCAACTAAAACTTGCACTATAGAGACACCATTTATTCATGTCACATTGGAGACAAATTATTTGTGATACAGATAAGATATGATTTGTTTGCACACAACAGACACAATTTAATTGTGACGTAGACGAGATGCGTTCGTACGACACACATTCGTTTGTGATACAGATAAGATATGATGTGTTTGCACACCACAGACACAAATAATTAATTGTNATACCTATTTTTATGCACCAACTAAAACTTGCACTATAGAGACACCATTTATTCATGTCACATTGGAGACAAATTATTTGTGATACAGATAAGATATGATTTGTTTGCACACAACAGACACAATTTAATTGTGACGTAGACGAGATGCGTTCGTACGACACACATTCGTTTGTGATACAGATAAGATATGATGTGTTTGCACACCACAGACACAAATAATTAATTGTGACACAGACAAGATGTGATTGTACGACACACACTCGTTTGTGTCACAAACAAAGACTAATTACGTGCATTAAGTTGATAAAAAGTGCGACGATTCTTGATCCCGCTTGGCGTACGTCAAAGGGTTTACATCGACACATTGATGTCTCAAATTGGTAGATAGAACAGCACACAATTTTATGATCGCACTGATATTTTGTGTTAGTGTGTATCATATTCTTCAAAGAATCTTTGTTCATTTCTTTTTAGCATAGGGATTATTAGTAAATGGAAGTTCTATTATTCATCATCATTTGAAAAAATAGAAAATTTTAGAATAATTTTAGTTTTTTCTCGATAAATTTATATTACTAAAAGTTATTCAAAACACTAGTACTGATCGAAAATATTATTTCCTAAAATGTCCTTAACTCTCCCCACTTCTATTATGATCTTCTCATGAACATCTAGAGCTCTTAATATTGAGTGTATGTGATGGAGTGATGGGTGGAATGTGAGGATGTCCTAATTTGAACCTTTTGAAATAACAAAATTGTTTTTGAATGACAAAATCCTAGGGTTTTTCTACAATGACATCACTATTTTGGCCAATTTACATTATGCAATAAGTAATTGTCCGTGACATAGCGATACGAATTTAATTTCGTAAGAGAAACACTCTTTTCAAAGGATGTATTTGTTTGGAGGGACAAAAACGTTGGGAATTTTGTTTCACACCAGTTACTTTATAGGTTTACAATCGTTATTATGAGAAGTTGTTAGGAATAAAGAGTGACGATATACAGTAATTATTTTGTGTGTATTTTTGGTAAATATATAGGTTGACCATAACAATTTAGGGAGTAAAAAAGGTACTTAATAAAGAGTAATTGTTCTCAATTGTGATTTTATGATAATTTTTTGTGAATATAGATTGATGATAACATTTCAAGGAGTAAAAAAATTTACTTTCTTCTCCCTAATAGTTTAGAGATATAATATTAATTAATTTATACTCACTTTGTTCTGTGCCAAAGCACAAATTACTTTTTTCATCGTCATCCCTTAAAAGACACATCCTTATATTTGACATAATATTTCTATATTTTCAATTACTTTTTTATCTTTTTAATCACTTTTATACATTCTTTCTTACCTTTATAATCATTTTTATATTTTCACGTTCTTACCCTACCTTTTCAAATACTTCTAAAAGTCCCCTTAATCTCTACAAAAAAAGACCTTCATGTGAGAAGTGAGTATAAATTAGTGACAAATTGACTTAAATGATTTAGTGCATATTTGACTAATTTTGGTTTATATTATAAAAAAGAGACAAGTTTTGGTTTTTAGAATAAAAATGTTTTTTTGAAAGTAGTTTTTAGATTAAAAGGTGGGATTAGGAAAGTCATTTCCAAAGTAGTCACCTACCTTATCTCTAATTGGCTAAAATTCAAATGAAATATCTCAAAACATATTTTACCATTTTAAGATCAACAAAATCCTTCCCATATTACAATCCAAATAAACATATATGCCAATTTTGAATTTATTATATGATCATTTAATATTCACCCCATCATATATACCTATTTTTATGCACCAACTAAAACTTGCACTATAGAGACACCATTTATTCATGTCACATTGGAGACAAATTATTTGTGATACAGATAAGATATGATTTGTTTGCACACAACAGACACAATTTAATTGTGACGTAGACGAGATGCGTTCGTACGACACACATTCGTTTGTGATACAGATAAGATATGATGTGTTTGCACACCACAGACACAAATAATTAATTGTGACGNATATATACCTATTTTTATGCACCAACTAAAACTTGCACTATAGAGACACCATTTATTCATGTCACATTGGAGACAAATTATTTGTGATACAGATAAGATATGATTTGTTTGCACACAACAGACACAATTTAATTGTGACGTAGACGAGATGCGTTCGTACGACACACATTCGTTTGTGATACAGATAAGATATGATGTGTTTGCACACCACAGACACAAATAATTAATTGTGACGCAGACAAGACGTGATTGTACGACACACTCGTTTGTGTCACAAACAAAGACAAATTACGTGCATTAAGTTGATAAAAAGTGCGACGATTCTTGATCCCGCTTGGCGTACGTCAAAGGGTTTACATCGACACATTGATGTCTCAAATTGGTACATAGAATAGCACACAATTTTATGATCGCACTGATATTTTGTGTTAGTGTGTATCAGATTCTTCAAAAAATCTTTGTTCATTTCTTTTTAGCATAGGGATTATTAGTAAATGGAAGATGTGGGTAGTACTAGTAGTAGGAGAGTAGTATAATGAGAGCACTATAGAAAAAGAGCATTTTTGACAGCGCTTTCAAATCAAAGCTTTTATGATGATTGACTGAATGATGACATTCCACACCTATCCATCAATTTATACTCCCCCCATCTCCTCCTCCTTCTTGCTAGCTACCTAGCTAGCTCCTACTCTATATCTATATATCTATCTATATATATATATATGAATATATCTATGTATATATATATCCACTGTATATGTACGTTAATAGCTACTGCATGCTATAATAAAGCAGCCATATCTCTCTGTTTTTTTTTTTAAAATTTCTCTTTGATTTGATCAGATCGGCCGGCCGCCATTCTGTTCATCTGATGATGTGCCCAGTAAACCCCCGCTTTTCTTGTCTTTCTCCATCATCTAATATCTATCAATCCACCCCAAATAAAAAAAAGTAAAAATCAAAATCCATCCAAAAGAATTCCTCAGATTGAGTTCTTTCACACTTGTTTGGTTCAGGGATGAGAGAAAGGAAAAAAATGAGAAAGGAAAATGTTTTTCTTATTTGGTTAGAGAGGAAAGGACAAGAAAAATGAAAGGAAAAGAAATAGAGAAGGAAAAATGTACTAAGAGGATGGAAAATAAAATTTTTCCTATTTTGGTGAGGAAATTGAGAGAAAACCTTTTTTTTCCTCTCAAATTCCTTCAACCAAACATAGTGTTAAAAATCTTGAAGTGAATTTTTTTTTGGAAATCTCCAAATTTAAAAAGTGGATAAAGCTAGGTTTTGAGGAGGAATTAATGGGGTACTTTTCCTAAATTATGTGCTCTAAATCACTTTGTGTGGAGTAGATTTTTCTTCTTTCCCTAAATTTCCTTTTCTCATTTTTCCCCTTTTGTCTTTTTTTTTAATGGGGAATTTATTGATACTAAAACATAATGACTTTTCCTAAATAGTACTACATGTGTTTTTCTTCCCAATGTAGCACTTTTAGTCATTATGCATTAGTCATTATTCAAGTAAATATTCGCCATCACTGGATATTATGGACATTATTAAGTGCTATTTAGAAAATAAAACAATTTACGTGCTATTTAGGGAAATGACTTAAGTTTTAATCCTATTTAGTGTAAATATTTCTTTTTTAATCTAACCAAACAAAAAAATATTTTGTATATTACGAGAATTTTCTTTTCTTTTTCAAATTCTTTGAGCCAAACATAGTGTAATATTTGGTTCAAAGATTATGAAATGGAATAGAAAAGAAACAATTTGAACAATAATTTTTGGTTTGATTTAAGAACAGAAAAGAAAGAGAAGTGTTTGGTTTACAAACAAAATGGTCATAAATCTCATAAATTTATTTTGTTTTCCTTTCCATGTTATACTCCGTATTATTTAACTTAATATAGCCTAAATTTAAAAAATTGAATAACATAAATTAAGTCCATGAAATCAATTTATAGTATGTTGATAAATTTTCCACAATAAATTGTTTCATAAATATAGCAAATTAGTCAATTAGTTTTGGATTCTCCATAGTGGAATAGTGGACCAACAATTTGTGATTGGTGGAGTATTTTCTCCGTCCTTCCATGAAGCTTACCAATTTTTTTTGTCTTTTACTTTTCTTTGTTATTTTTCAAAAAAATTACCCGCTTGGCTTTTATCATTTTAATTATAAATATATTCTATTTATAATTAAATAGAATATATTTATGTCCAGAATTTAAAAAAATGGGTAAAGTTTTTTTTTTGTGATGTAAGAAGTATGTGAAATAGGTACCAGAATGTGGGTAACAAAAGTCTAGTGGATGAGATAAAAAGTCAGTAAATCTAAAAAAGTCATGTAGGTAAAAAATGTAGGTAAGTAAGAAAAAAAATTGTACTATAAAGCAATCTAGATTTATCTTTTCTTTTTTAGCCGAAATTGGATATGTGAACTTAATTTTCAAGATAGCTTAGAATAGAAAGTTTGAACCTAATTTAGGCGGAATATACTGAATTAATTGTCACGCTTTTCTTTTTGATGTATTTTAAAAAAATTGAAAAATATTGTTAATAAGGTAATGAATATATGACTTGTAAGTTTTATTTTTATCCCAAACAATTCACTTTTTATTTTTTTCATTAAAATTCTGTAATATCAAATCGCGTTAATTAATGCGGGACGAAAGAAAGTACTCCCTTTGTTCACCATAGATCTTCCCAGACACTATTCACAGGGTCAACTTTAATCACTTTGTTTGCTCATTTTTACAGGTCATTTCATAAAATAATATAGTCTTGTCACTTCTAGTTTTGTAGAACTTTTTATGTTGTTTATTACTATATAAATTTTATTTTAAAATTTTACTCGTATAATGAATTAAATTGAATTAAAAATAAAATCGGTCAAGCCTCGTAACGCGTAATGAGAAGATCTTACATGAAGGGAGTGAGTATATAAATAGATTTTTTGTCAAAAAGAAAAGTGTACTCTTCTCTGTGCCCAATTTATTATTGTGAGAATGAATGTAAATGAGAGAGAGGGGATAGATTTGTCCAAAAGGTATGTTGTGGTATTATCATCAATAAATGACAATTTCATCCCTGGCCTCTAGTACTAGTAGTAGTAGTCTCCAGTCTCTGGCCATTCTTTCTGTGTTACATCAGATTTTGCTTTTTACCCTTCAAACTTTTGCTTTCCCTTTTTTCTCCCTAAAGTGGGAGCTAGGATTCTCATTAGGTTTGACCATTGTCCAGTCTTTTACCCCATCATAAAATAAATAAATAAATAAATAAATAAATAAATATATGTGGATCTTTTTCAAAACCCACTATTTGTTTGGCCCATTTTCAGTCTCTTTATTTTACTACCTCCGTCTCACTTTCTTTGTCCACTATTGACTTTTGGAACTGTTCATCTAAGCACTTTGACTCATCAAATTCTCTTAATGTGTAAGCCTAAATATAGTCATGTGTGATCTTGTTTGATTTGTCTTAACATATAGATTATTAATATATAATTTTTATAATTTTTTAATATACAAATTATAAGATAAAATGGATTAAAGAAGTGCATTGAATGGTGTGCCAAAAGATAAGTGGACAAAGAGAGTGGGACGGAGGGAGTATTTATTAAAGGAAAAGATTTCTTGAATATATCCCAAGGTGATTAATATTGTTTAAAGAGGATTAAATATTTACCTTACAGTAACTCTTTAAATTTGTCAAGGAACCAATTCAACCAAAAACTCAAGCTTGTATTTGTGGCCCAAGAAGAATTATTTATATTCTAACACGCCCCCTCACGTGCAGACGTAGTTTTTTTCGAGCCTTGCACATGAAATTTTTAGTTTTCTTAAAACTGGGTGGCGCTGAGTTTTGAACATGTGATCTCTTAGTCAGCAAGGCTCCGATACCATATCAAGGAACCAACCTAACCAAAAGCTCAAACTTGTAGTTGTGGCCCAAGAAGAGTTATTTATATTCTAACAAAATTAGAATAAATCTATTGCCTCCGTCCTATAAAAGTTTTTTATTACTCCGGAAAAGGTTTTATTCAAAGAATGCTTACTATTCGTGTTATTTTTCAATTTTACCTTTATTTTATTATAGTGTGAAATGAAAAAATTTATTTGAAGGTGAAATTATTTCTCACTGTCATGTAGGGGCACTTCTCTATTTCGTCTAAATTTTTTTTGTACACTTTATTTTAAAGGAAAAGACGGTTTTGTCCTTGTAATATCTCCTTCTTCGCACAAAATAAGATCATATAAGTTCTATTTTATTAAAAATTAATACCATACAAGAAAATAATTATGGGACACTAAGGCTGCGTTCTGTTTGCCTGATCTGATCTTGTTATTCGAAAATATGATTTGGTCTGATCTGATTGTAATTATATTTAAAGCTATTTCTGATATGGTCTGATTCGTACATCACATAATATGGGGATGGGACAAATTTGTTAGATTGTGAATTATCTCAAAATTTAAAACTGCAACCTTAAATTATGGCAGCTGCGAAATTGCATGGACCACCAAAAAACACCTGTGTTGAGATAAATCATCTGTTTTATTCCCTCCGTCCTAAAATTAATTTCCCATTTGACTTTTCACGGTCTCCAATGCGGCACTTTGACCAGTGATATCTTCATTTTTATATGAATATATATTATCAAAATAATATATTTCAAAACTATGTTTCAAAATGAATCTATTGATACTTAATTTATATGAAAATTTAATATATTTTTTCCGTAATATGTAGTCAAAGTTTAAAAACTTTGACTGCAAAAGTTAAAATGGGAAATTAATTTTAGGACGGAGGGAGTATATTGAAATCAATCAACTATGAGTCTCACATGTTTTTTACTACTATAATTGATAGTAATTCCTTTAATTAACTAATTCAAGCTTATTTCAATTAACTTGTTCTGATCTTTTGCTACCTAAACTACACATACGTTTCTCTCTCCCACTCTCTCTTTTAGGGCTAATAATAATTTATTTAATATCGTTTTTGTATCATAGCTTTGTTGTTGTTGTTGTTTTGTATCATAGTTGATTGATTTCAATATATACTTTTTATTTTTTTTTTAATTATTTGAGTTCAATTACACATTCCTTCCATGTGTTTGATGATTGATTTTCTAATTTTGCATGGATTGATTGCCACCATTTGCTGCTGCTACACAGTGTATTTGGGTATGTTTTCTTTTCATTTATGATCTTCATAATAATAATAATAATAATAATAATAATATTATTATTATTATAAAAATGAATTTTGAAGTAATTTGATATAATTAGCAAAAAGTCATGGAATAGTATATGGGGATGTGATCAGGTGGTTACGATAAGGAGGACAAGGCGGCAAGGTCGTATGATTTGGCTGCACTCAAGTATTGGGGCCCCACCGCCACCACCAACTTCCCCGTACGTCCTTTTCCTTTTTTTTCTCCTTTCCTTCACAATTCCCCCTTTTCTTCTATCCAAACAACCAACCGAGCAATAACGGCGGGTCCCACTCTAACTGGTCGAGTTCCGCCTTTATTTCTCGGAGGTCAGGTCTCGTAAACTAGCGGCCCACGCTTGGGCCACGTAACCTGCTGCATAAGTGTTTTTTGTACACCTGCATTTATAAATTGACACCGAGCTGAGCCGAGACCCTTACAGTGTTTAGTGGGACACTATAGAATCTCGGTGTCATTTTCAACCGAAACGGGTCGCTTTGACCCATATAAAATTTTGGGTTTGACCCGACAAGCGTGTTAAGTCGAGCAATGTAATTCGAATGATTGAATGGTTTTCCCTCTTAGATTTCGAATTATAGCAAGGAACTAGAGGACATGAAGCACATGACTAAGCAAGAATTCATTGCCTCATTGAGAAGGTTAGCCTCTACTTGAAGCCTTATTAGTATAAATCTGGGAATTAATTGGAAGCAATGTGACAAAATCTAAACATGAACTTTGATTCTCAGGAAAAGCAGCGGATTCTCCCGAGGTGCTTCGATTTATCGTGGGGTCACGAGGTTTGATTCTTCATCTCTTTTTTTATAAGCGATACTCATTCCATTTTACATTAACCGTTTTTATGACTTTTTAGATACATTGAAAACTTAACGAATGTGGACATAACGTATGTCTACGTTCATTTGTTTTCATTGTATCTAAAAAAATCGTAATAGAAAGTTAACATGGAACGAAAAGAGTATTTATGTCTAGTTTAAATGTTAACGCTAATTAAAAGCATTGTTTTTCAAGGCCTGAAACATGTGATCTAAACCCTAACAATGTTTTCAGGCATCATCAGCAAGGGCGCTGGCAAGCAAGGATAGGCCGCGTAGCAGGCAACAAAGATCTCTACCTTGGAACTTTTGGTAATTATGTACATTTTTTACCTGTTTAAACTCTAACAGATTTATGGGATTGAAGTGTTAATGAATTTTTTACTTGTTGAAGCAACTGAGGAAGAAGCTGCAGAGGCGTACGACATTGCGGCGATAAAGTTCCGGGGGATGAACGCCGTGACCAACTTTGAAATGAGCCGGTACGACGTGGAGGCGATAATGAAGAGCGTGCTCCCCGTTGGCGGCGCCGCCAAGCGCCTGAAGCTCTCTCTGGAGTCCGACCAGAGGCCGCCGGTTCCGGCCCTCGCCGGCGGCGTCGGCCACCCGGGGCCCCACCAGAGCTGCGTGAGCTTTGGGGCGGTCCCGCCCATCTCCGCCATTCCATGCGGGGTCCCGTTCGACTCGGGGTCCTTCTACCACCACCACGCCGCCGCCGCCGCCGCCGGCCTCTTCCACCACCACAACCTCTTCCACTCCGGCACCGAGGTGCCGGCGGAGGTCGCGGCTGCAGTGCCGTTCCAGAACCCGCCCGCTGAGTTCTTCATCTGGCCTCATCCGTCGTATTAGTTTCGCGCGCGAGAACTGACCGATCTTCTGACCGTTCTGACCGTGGCTGGCGGGAAAATTGAAGGGATTTATTTTTTTCAAACAAAAAAGATGAAAAGCTTTAGAGTTTTTCTAGGGTAGAAATTAAAGCTAAGATCTTTTGTAAGTAAGTACCTGCTTCATCTTCTTTCTTCAGCCCAAACTAAATTAGATCAGATGATGTCTTTGGGGGGAACTCAATGTGGGAATTTTTTGTTCTTTTTTTGTTTTCTGTTTTCATGTTTTTTTTGTTGTTGCTGGTTTCCCATGTTCTTGGAGTTCCTCCTGATGTTTGTCAAAAATCTGAATTTTGCAGAAAATTGTGCTGACAGAAATGACAGAAACTGATTAGTATTGCTATTATGATCAATCTGATGAAATCTCTGCATTTTGCTATTAATAATAGAGTCTATATATTCATCTCATTGTCTATATATGCATTGAAAAATGTTACTCTCTATGTTTTTCACATTTTAACATGTGTTTGATTCATGTGGTTGTCTAAGAAAGAAAAAAGAAGGGATGAAAATCATTGATTGGGATCTAAACTAAACCACGTACACAACAAATTTGAATTATAAAATGCTCAAACACCATTTGTTACCAAAATGAAAAAATTTATGCAGTAACTTTTTACAAGAATTGTGCATGCATGTCCTTGCCATGGCGATGATAATTAACATTAGTTTTATTTAGTAAACTTTGCACTGAATAAAACTAAAACATAAATCATTTCTTAATCTATGATTTAAATTTTTTTATTTCTTAAATATGGCTTAATAATGATTAGTGAGAAAAATAATATTCTAGTGATGTTGGACATTTAGTTTAATAATGACTAATAAATAATGACCAATGGTCCTATATTGGGAAATAAATACATATGGTTCTATATTGAGAAAGTCATTATGTTTTAGTCTTATGTAGGTAGATTATCCTTAGTTTTAATGTTTTGAAATGTTTTCACGTTTTACGGAGTAGTATTTAGTCTCTCCGTCAACAATTAATTAGCCCTTTTACTATTCCAATTTTTCTATAATTTTTTATTGTATAGGATTTGTTTAAATAATCTTTTGATAAAAAGTGTATGCATTTTACCATGAATTTTGTAGAATTTTTCATAATTTTTTTTTTGAAAATTTAAGTCATTATTGTACTTTATATTTTTATATAAGTTTATAAACAAAATTATTTTAAGTAGATTAATTTTATTGGATGTTCAAAAATACATGAATAATTAAGAACGGAAGGAGTAAGTAATACCCCGTATAAGGGACGAATATATTTGAAACTCAATGGTCTCGAGTTAATGGAGTGCAGGCAAGTAAGGGTGAGCATGGTACGGTATGGTACGATATTTAGCTCGTACTGATACCGCACCGAATATTTTGGTTTGGTATGAGATTTTACTCCATACCGATCTCGAGAAATATCGGTTCGGTATGGTTCGGTATCGGTTTCGGTACAAATCGAGATAAATATACATATACCTACTTTACACGTTAAAATTTAACAATATCCCTTTATTTTTGAAAATTAAAAGTGAATTTAAATAAAAAAAATATAAAAAATTAAAAAAATGAATATTTAAATGCAAGAGATACATATCAAAACATAGTTTATATTTCACAAACTAAAAAAATGAATGACAACAAAGTAGTATTTCGAATCTTTGTGAATACTTTTATGTTCATACACAAAAATTAAAATTCAAATAAAAGTACTCCCTCCGTCTGGAAATGTTATTCTCATTTGACTTTTCACGGTCTCCAATATTGCACTTTGACCATTAATATCTATATTTATACATAGATATATTTTATAAAAATTTGAAAACTATGTTTCACTATGAATATATTGATATTAAACTTACATCATAATACAATATATTTTTTCTACAAATCGTAGTCAAAGTTTATAAATTTTGACCAAGAAAAGTCAAATGTGGAGAACATTCACGGACAGAGGGAGTATAATTTACACATCATAGAATTTGAAGCAAATGTTTTTAAAAAAATTATTATTTAGTGAAGAAATATATAAATATTACTCTGGGGTATTATATTTTTATAATATTTTAGTATATACTCCCTCCATCCCAGAGTATTTGTCCACTTTCATTTTTACACACCATCCAATCCACTTCTTTAATCCATTTTATTTTGTAATTTGTATATTAAAAAATTATAGAAATTATATATTAATAATCTATATGTTAAGACAAATCAAACAAGATCACACATGACTATATTTAGGCTTACACATTGAGAGAATTTGATGAGTCAAAGTGTTTAGATGAACAGTTCCAAAAGTCAAAAGTGGACGAATATAGCGGGACAGAGGAAGTATATTCGGTACGGGATTTTCGGTATGGGACGTCACCTCGTTCGTTCCCGAATACCGTAACTATCATTCGGTTCGGTACGGTTTGGTTCCACCTCGGTACTTTTTCGGTTCAATATTTTTCAGTTCGATATTCTTGGTTTTTTCGGGAAATTTCGATATCGGTTTGGTATTTGCTCACCCCTAGAGGCAAGTATATTGAGAATGATTCTATGTTTTAGTATCCAAATTTAACAATTTTCCCTTTTTTTAGTCGGAACTTATCCTATATCCTATATCCTATATATATATATGTAAAGGAGAGTTCATTAGTTGTAGTGGAGACACGTGGTGTATGACATGGCAAGATGTTTATCCACATGGTATAGTGTCATCATTTTATTAGTCCATGTGGCATTTATTATTTTATTTTTTTATTTAAAAAATTGTTCATGATGATTTCTTTTAATTACCATAAACTTGTAATTATAATACTTTTCACATTCTAATTATTATATTAATATGTCCTTCATCATTTTAAAATAGATTTTAATATCTTATAATTAATTAATTACTTTTTTAAGGGTTTTATAAACATTATTAAATTTTTTAAAAGACAAATCTTTGTATAATTTTTTACACCATTTTCCCCTTTTATTCCATATAAAAAATAGCTTTATATGAAATATAATATGTTTGCGTCATTCTTAAAATTGTATAGATTTATATGAAATATAATACATTTTAAAAACATAGATTTATTTCTAAACAATTGCATAAGCATTAGTTAAAAAAATTTCCATTTCTTATATATTTATTTATTGTATCCACCATTAAAAATATCTTATTTAGTAGTTAAAACATATTCAATGGCTAATGCTTTGGTATGTATATGCACATACCAAAGTTAAAATATCTATTATTATATTCAATAGCTAATGCTTTTGCATAAATTGTTTTATTTTCTTAGTATATTTAACGAAAAATACCAACCTTACTATTCTATTCTTCCAAGTTAAAAACTACAAAAAAAAACTATTCTAACCACTAAGACCATCTCCAATGGGATGCCCAAAAGAGATGCTAGGAGGGGAGAGTGTGAGATGTTGATAGATGCTATTGTTGTAGGTATGTGCTCATTATAGATGCCCAAGGAAGAAAAAGAGAGGGGGATGCTTCACATAGCACCGATGCTTGAGGGGGAAGGATTTCATTCATTCATTTCTTTAGTTTTGTGGTCCAATGATTATGTGCCATGTGTCATATATATATTCAATTCTTTTTATGGCAATTTTCTTAATTAAATAGCTCTCTTTTTAAATACTTTTCCAACGAATTTTTTTTGTAATTCCAATAAATATTTTAAGTAAATGTTTTTTTTACAAATAGCTGCAAATTAGGATTTTTTTTCTTAAAAAATGGATTTACACCGAAATAGGTTGTTTTTAGATTTTTTTTTTATATTGATGGAGAACAAGCTAGTTTTAAAATATAAAGAGTAGTTTTTTCAATATAATATTTTCAAGTTTTGTATAATTAATACTCCGTAATTTATTATACAACTAAATACTTATAATTAACAAAAAATAAAATATAAATATATTTTAGTTGACCTACTATATTAATTGAATAGATGTTTAGGCATCCAAATGAGATGCTACCATTGAAAGAATAAGATGTTGAGAGAGGTGCTAAAATAACATCTTTATAGTGGAACCCACACTTGAGCATCTAATGAGAGATGTTGTCATTGTGAATGCTCTAACACCCAACACCTACAAAACACAACACAAAACACTAGATAAAACTTACAATTCCCAATCATCACCACAACACTATCCCAACTAGTCTTGTCTGTATGAGACGAATATTTTTATCAGTCATTTTGAAATCGCTGTATATTCTCCATTTCTCCTTCCCTACCGCCCCGCGCTTTAACGTTCAACCTGCTGCCAGCGCCGCCTCCTTTGCTCTCTGCGTCGATTCAAAATTATTCGCCGCCGGGGAGAGCATCGGCGGGTGGAGGCGCAGCCGCATTCGCCGCAGATGAACTTTCGTTTGCTCTGCCACATCGACACTGCCGGCGGCGTCATCGGGAACAGCGGCGCGCTAATCAAGCACCTGGAGTGCCAAACGGGATGCCAGATCTCATTCGAGAAGCCGCTCTTCAATTGCGCCGAGCGAGTCATCAATGTAATCGGAGACGCGTCGGCGGCTGAGACGAATTTCTCGGCGAGCGAGGATGTGTCTGCGGCGGCGCGCGGTACCGCTGCGCAGGAGGGTTTGTTTAGGGTTTTTGAGAGGATTTTGGAGTTGGAAGGGAAGGTTTGCCACGGGGAGGGAGCAGTGGGGTGCAGATTGCTTTGCCAGTCTTTTCAAGTCAAGGCGCTGATAGGGAAAAGAGGAAGAACGATTGATGCTATCAGGAGGATCTCTGGAGCTAAGATTAAGGTTCTGAACAAGGAACATCTTCCAGATTGTGCCAGCACAGACGAGGAGTTGGTTCAGGTTAGCTGTTTGAAATTAGCTCTCAACATATATCAATGACACTGTGATAGTTTGATTGATACTTGTTCTTGTTAATTTCTTTTCATGTTGTGATCTTTGATCTTTCCTGTGAATGGCACAAAAATGTCAAAAATGTACATTTACTAAGTACATTTTTCTTGATATGTGCACGAATGTAGTAATGGAGTATCTAGTGTTTCTCCGGAAATAGAGCCATTCGTTTGTAATGATTTACTCTGTATGAAATAGATAAATCACTGTTGCCAAATTTTAACAATAGAATGCTGTGCTTTTATGGAAAAAATATTTTTTACTGAATTAAAAATAAGCATTTTTAGCTTCAATAGAGTTAAAAGCACATTTTCTTAAAGAAGTTAAAGCACATTTGTTTATAAAAAAGCACCAAAATAGTGATTTTTAGGAAATGTAGTTATTTGTAAAAGTTCTTTTCAAAATCACCATGGGCAGGCACTTTCCACTTTTTCTTCAACTAATAGTATTTTTTAATGGTTATAGATCATGGGCGGAATTCTGTCTGTGAAGAGAGCACTAGTTCATGTATCTCAATGCCTTCAAGATTGTGCTATGGGAAGAAGACCAATGAACATGCCTTCTGCGGTGCTACGAAATGAAAACCATGTTGACTTTTCTTCTCACCCGTCTTCGTTAATGCCATCTTCTCTGCATAGTGCTTTTGAAAAATTTTCAATTGGACATACAGTCTCAAATAATGATGACAGAGTTCTTAAGCCAGATGAAGAGAACACTAAGCATAAGGTGTCTTTTAGGTTGCTATGTGCTCTGAACTCAGGTAGAGGTGTGGGAGACTTGCCTGCCACTACCATCCATGCTTTGGAGAAAGAGACCGGTGCTTCTATAAGTTTTTCTCCTCCGGTACATGGGTCCCAATACCGTGTTGTCATGATATCTTCATTAGAGGTTTACTATTATTTATGGCTAAACTATTTTCATTCATCAGCATGCTACTTTTGGTTATCGGCAATTTTCTTGCATAATATGGATGTATTACATTCTCTGTATTAGTCTCCTTTGGCTATGTTTCAAACCCGATAAAGATAGGCTAAATTTGCGTTAATTTAATTTACGAACTTGACATTTGAAAATATTTATATCATTGCCTCTTATTATATTTTTAATGCTCATAAAAATAAAATGCAATTATGAGGGCTTAGAATTTTCATTTGATATTTGTGTTAGTTCTTATGGAAGTTGCTAGAAGACAGGCATCTAGCTTTGTAGCTTAACACATTGTGTTTTTTGCATGAGCTATACTGGTAATGAATTTTATACAGTTAAGTGATACTATAATTTAAGTCACCAACCACAAGTTGTGGTTAAGGTGATGATGATAAGGATTATTCGGTGAGTAAGAAAATTACATACTTCGGCACACTGGGGGGGGGGCGGGGCATCATACCGTGGCCTAGTACATTTTGGGTGGACTTACGCATACCCTAGCCGGCCTGGAGGGTAGAGACTTTTTTCAAAAAACCTGGAAAGAAAAAGAAGAAAAAAAACCTCTTTTGTTGTTCTATTTATGAATGGTCTTTGGGGCTGCTTGTTACTCATTCCTTCTCCTGTATTTTGTTCTACCCTTATTTTTACCCCATGTTCTTTGTTTTAGCCGGGGTTGAGTTGGCATCCGTTCATCCATCCGGGTAACCTACTTGTGAGATACTTCACTGGGTAGGTTGTTGTCTCTAGTGTCTGTATTTCTGTCCCAGGAATATACAATATTTCAAGGAGTTGCTAGCTTTCTAATTTGTTTTTGCAAATCAATGAAACTCGTTTTAAATATATATTCCTATTACATAACGACGGATTGATAATTATATACTCGTGCTTCCTCCATTCCTAAATAAATGCAACGAAGGAGGGTTTTGTACTATTCATGCACTCACATTTGATTATCTGTTGTGATTTATACATAAAGAAAAATATAGTTACATGGAATCTTGTTGGATTTATCTCGATATAAACTTTCGTATTATCAACTTTTTACAATTTTTGCTAAAACATAATTTGAAGATATCAACGGTTTACTTTGCGCATCGACAAACATGAAAATCCTGATGCTTTATTTATTTAAGAACAGAGGAAGTATGGAGTGTAAAATTTCAAAAAGATATCATGAAGTTATATCATTCTTCGTATTTTCTAAGGTAAAATCAAACATAAAACCATTTCTCTTAGCTTCTTCTTTCCCCCTTTCCCCTTGCATTCTATGCATTCCAAACATAGCATTACTTGCACACAATTGTTGTTATAATTGACCATTGGAAAATCTTTTTCAGCAAATAGATCCGTTGTATCCATATGCTCAAATGGCTGTAATTCGAGTTTTTGAGAAATACATGGAGGAATGCATATTAGTTTCAGGTTTACGCAAGGGGGCAACTGTAACTGCGAAGATCGTAGTTACATCAGATGAGCTGAAATGCATGGGTGACCGAAAAGGACAAGTTGGGGCAGATATAAGTTCCACATCTGGTGTTGAAATACAGCTAACATCTGAGGAGCTACCCCAGAATTTTTTAGCAGAGAACGATAAAGTGATCCAGGTGTTAGCAGACTGCTAATTTATCTTGATTTTAACCATACACAGCTTCTTACCTCTGGTATTGCAACTCTATTTGATTATATAATGGAAATGCACGGTTTTTCTTTAGAGAGCTACTTTGCTGGTGCCTGTTTGGGATGAGTATCGGAAAGCACTTCTCCAACATAAGAATTAAATAGAGTAGCAAGATGTTTTTAAATTTGGAAAAAGTGCTTTTATTTTTTTTCAAAAGTCATTCCAAACGGCCTTCAAACATTTATATTATATTGAGGTTAGCATGACATGGAGACTGTGTCAAACAGGTCTAGACTACATGTCTCTATAATACCCTATATGTATAGAAAGGCTTAGCTCTCTATAGAAAAACTCGAATGTTTACCTTTTTTTTTTGCTCTAAAAACATGTACTCTTTTTAGTGCTTTTTTTGTTCTACAAGATGTTATTCGTAAACGCTATCAGACACATCCTTGTCACTTAGATGGGTTTTTTGCCTTTTTGTTTGTTTTGGTTCCATAAGATGTTGACATATAAAGCGGTTTCTTCTTCTACAGATTGTTGGGGAGTATCTCAGTGTAAAGATTGCTCTATTTCAAGTTACTGCTAAGCTACGGCAGAATTTCTTCTCAAGCTTGGTTTCCGGGGGTGTAAAATCTAACAAACAGTATCGAAGCGCTTCTTCAATGTCTAAAAGCAGTCACAACGTCACACAGTTAAATTCGGCTCCGCAACCGTATCACATATCTGACCTTTCTACCCCTGCTGCGAAGAAACACCTCAGATTTATCCCCAACCTTGGAGGTCCTCATAAGCTGCTGAACAAGCAGGTATATAAATATTCCATCCTTAAAAAAGCACTATTTCAACAAAAAATGTTATATTTCATTAGATTTAATTTAAATTAATGTTAAGAATGTATTTCTCTCCATTTGGTACAATGTGAGTTCCGATCGAACCTTTACTTTTTAAAAGGGTTTCCACCTACCTCACGTCCTCACAGATCAATGGCAGTGCGGATGCAAATGGGGCAACATATAGAACTGATGAAGTTGTGGTTCCAGCACACAAGTTTGAAATGGTATATGGCTTGGAAGGTACCAACCTCCTCATGTTGAAACAGGTAATAAGGAGAATCAATGAATTTTGGTTGAAACTGATTTTACTAACACTGTGTTTGGTTCAAGGAATCTGAGAGAGAAATGAAAAGAAAATGAGAAGGAAAACGTTTTTCTTGTTTGGTTAGAGAGGAAAGGAAAATAAAAATGGAAGGAAAAGAAAACGAGAAGGCAAAATGTACTCTAAGAGGAGGAAAAACCGAATTCCTCCCATTTTGATGAGGAAAATGAAGGAAAACTATTTTCTTTTCCTTTCAAATTCCTTAAACCAAACATAGTATAAATGTTTCTCTTTGAGTCGGGAGTCTCTTGGAAACAGCCTCTGTGTTACAAAGTAGGGGGTAAGATGTGCGTACACAAACCCTCCCCACGCCCTACTTCTTGTGGGATTTTACTGGGTTTGTTGTTGCTACTGCTTTCCCTTGCGGAAACATTGACGGTTTTAAGCCATTTCAATCAAAGAGCATCACCAAACGGCCCCTAAATTACTCTCTTAAATGGTCTTTTTTCCTTTGCTTTGTAGTGTTGTACAACCACTTAAATAACCACGGAGCGTCATGCCCTCAAGTAAATTTATCATTTTTCATAAGGTAAAAAGTAATCTATCCATATATTTTGCTATTGTCATTTGATATCCATTCAAGGGTACATTTGGAAGTCAAATAGCAAAAAAAAGTTATAAAAAAGCCGTGTCAAGTCAAACTAGAAGAGTTATCACACATCTCTCCCGTGTCGCAACACTTTTTTTTGCCATTATTCTTTCATGAATGCAACTTGGCATTGACAACTTCCTTTTTTACCCTTACGGTTTAGAGCTCGGGTGCTGAGGTCACAGTGCAAGATCCACAGCAAGGGGAAACCAGTGGAAAAGTGATGATCTCGGGGACATCAGAGCAAATTTTAGTCGCAAAGTCCCTTCTTCAATCCTTCATCTGCATTTAACCATTCATGCAGTGAATGGTGGATGTAATGTGTGTCCAGTTCTTCATTGTGATGTAACTCATGTAAGTGTAAAATGTACGTTCTCCGTCCTAAATTAATTTGCTCACTTTAGGTTCACGGATATTAACAAACATGTTGAAAAGTGAAAAACAATTTGGACCAGATTTTGTTTTAATAAAAGAAATATAAAGTTAGAAAATTATTTTGAGTATGATTTATAGAATTTTACGGAGTACTGGTATTTTGCAATATTTGTATTTTTCAATTCACATTCATTTTGCAATATCAGCCAAAATACTTTCACGTAATTAAGTCTGAAGTTGTGACTAAGCCGGGTTGGAGTAGTGATTTGAAATCCAATGATTTCTTGGATTATTGGTGTGCAAAAGAAAATTTGGGAGTCATATTGTATAATCGGCCAAATTTGGGAGTAATATCGTAGACTCTTTGGATGGCTGGGTGCTGCATCCGGTGACTTTGGGGAGTGACAGTAGTGTAGACTCTTTTTTAGGCCACAAAAAGAATGTTACTCCGTACTTTTTTGATATTTTCGTTACGGAGTATTTTTACTTCTGTTTATCGAGTTCTTCCATAATTTATTTCAAAATTGGTGCAAAAAAGTGTGTAATATATCTTTTAAAATTATATTAAAAGTTCTACGAGTATAAAGCAAGAGAGGACATGATTATATTTTTCCATCTCAATTTCAATTGCATGTTTATGTTTACGATGTTTATTGAAATTATTTTTAATAAATTTTATTTGAGAATTGAGGTGCAATTAAAAAAATAAAATTTACATATTTAAAAACTAAATAAAAAATTCTTCGAAACAAAAGCCACATTAATATATTATTCTATCAAACGAGTAAAAAAACTAGAAAAAAAAATTAATAAAATTTGGCATTATAAATAGTAAATATATAATTAATTTGGAACAAAGGAAGTAATATTTTGTCAAATAATTAAAGAGAATTAGAAAAAAAATTAGTTGACATTGAAATATTATGTGTAATTTTTTGTTTCCCCGAAACAAGAGTAGTATATACTCCGTAATTGCAATACTGTTTTGGATAAAATTTTAATGGGGTAGATTAATTCTAAAAACGCTAGCGCTAAAAGCTATCTTCGAATAGCCTTTTCAAAATGATAACGCTAATCTCTAACGGTGATACCAAACAAGGCCACAATTATTAGAAACAATTAGTTATAGTTATCCTTGGTTTCCCGAAAATTCTCTTTTCCTTTTTTTAATGTTCCAAAACATTTTATACTCTATTTTCTTTTTTAAAAAATTGAGATGTGGTGTACGATTTATCTTCCATCAAAATATATTCTAAATAAATACACCTATATTTTTTCACTTTTTTTTAACATTCTTTTTAATTACTCTCAAAAAACGCAAACTAGCTAGAAACTTTTTTATGAGACGAAAATTTTGCAATGTGTTACAATTTAACAAAATTTCGATGTATTTAATTTGTGTGGAGATCTTATTGTACAATAATGCCGAGTATTAATTAATTATAGCAACAAACACTAGCTGATTTTATTCAAATTATTATCACTCGTATTTATTACAAAAATAAATAAGTTTTAAGTTTTTTTTTTTTTGGAAAAAGTTTTAAGTTGCTATAGTACTCCTCGTGGGAGATTTCTTTTGGAACAAGAATGCATGTTTAATAGGATTTGAACCCATATTTTAGTTTCCAAAGTTAACCCTATACATATACATATCTCACTCTTTTCTTTTCCCCACACAGCAGAGTCCAGTTTGAAGATCTCTCTCTCTCTCTCTAGATTTGTTTGTAAGTATTTATATTTTTGTTTTTGTTTATTTAATTTATTTTCCATGTAAATGCATATTCCTTCACTAATAGAATGTTTGTAATTCTTTTCAAGTTAAATTAGACCAGTTTTAATAAAATTACATTAAAGTTATATTGCATATTAATACGATAAATCTTGAAAGATTTCTGCGTGATAAATCTAATAAATTATTTTTAATACGGAGTACTATGTTGCAATCTTTTTTTTTGAATTTTTTTGCAATAATTTAACTAATTAATCTGAAACTTTATTTTTTATTAATCTGAAACTTTATTTTTTTATTTTATTTGTTTGTTTGGTTACTTTTTTGTAACATACGTATCCCAATCTTTTCTTTGAAAAAAGGTCAAAGAAATTTTTGGTACAATCCAAATAAAAAAGTAAAAAATTAATTATGGGGAGGGACTAGTTCTATCAGTTTATTCTTTTTCGGAATTCTCAAAAAACCCTTTATTGGGCTTATATTAGGTTTTACGTTTCTTATTCCCATTGTGTTACTTAAAGTGCACATCAATAAAATTTCTATGTTGGGTTAGTTTATTACTACACCGTATTTGTTACTCCACATTAATTGTTTTTCTTATTTGCCTACTTCAATTTCTAAAGTTTTCATCCTTTTTTTGGTATGACTTCAATAATATATAGTGTTGCTTTAATTATTGCTACAGGTGCAAACAATCTCTTTTTGGTGCAATGATCACTCGTTTCGATTACTCTGCTTAGAATTTCAATGGAAAGCATAAAGAACTCTCCTTTTAACGTATGTTCATTATACAAGTAGTTCTTTTTTATTTTTTTCAGTTTCATATACACAACGTACATCTCATCACTAACCTTTCTTTCAAAAAATCTTGTGAAATAGGATGCACCTAAAGAAGACTTTATTAGCCAGCTATCGGACGATATTCTTGCTTCAATTCTTTCCCGCACGCCTACAAAATTCGCCATAACGACAAGCGTTTTGTCCAAGCGATGGAAGAAGGTTTATAGATATGTGTCCAACTTAACTCTTTGTTGTGAGGACCTATCACATGTCGTGCCACACGTCCCACACTTTGAAACGACAATTTCAGAGTCATTGCAAAGACATTTAAAATTTTATCATGGCACCAAAATACATTTTATCAGCTTGAGTTGCTGCGTGACGACCACTCAATTTGATCACCTGGTACATTCTTTGGGAAAGTTGGGAGTGGAAGAACTTCACTTATGGTTATCTTGTTGCAATGTGGCTAACGATGTATCTTTTAGCTGTAATCACATTTCCAAGATACCAAGCACAAATTTTTTCGTGTTGGGTATGTGCACGTTACAACCGAACTACTCGAAGGGGCAATTTAGTAACTCCGCACTTCAGACCCTCGAGCTTAGGGGAGTCAAGATTCTTCCTGGTTCATTGGAGTCCGTTTTGTCTGCTTGTTTGAGCCTTCGCACGTTGTTCATTGGCAAATGTGAAGCGCCTTTCAAGTTGTGCTTCGGTGGCCCCACGTCAGGGGATCTCAAACTCGAGAATCTTATAGTTGAAAATTGTTGCGGCATAGAGGAGATTGAGATATATGCCAAGGATCTCATAACATTGGAGTTTCAAGACAATAGAATGGTTAGATTTGTGTTTGGGCATGCTCCAAGGTTGCAAAGTGTATATCTTTCCATAGAAAGTGAAGATATCTTGGCCTATGTGTTTGGAGGATTCACTAAAAATCTGCCTAGCCTTGAATCCTTAACTTTGGATTCTAAATGTGGCTTTTATGAGGTTCGTAATTAATTAAGACAAGAAGTGTATACATATCTAATTCCAATCTTATTTATGTAGGTGTATTCGATTAGGGATTTTAACACCGCTTATAGGTGTTAAAATGTGAACTATTTCGTTCAGTCTCAAAGTGATTTCTACTCCTTATGATCTCAATCTACTCTAAACAAAACTCAGAAGACTGGGTGAACATTATATGATTTTCAAATAGTCCAGTGTCTACTACTTAGTTCATTTATTTATCTAGCTTTTATTATTGATTAAATGCTTATTTAATTTTTTTTGTAGGAGAGCAGGAGACTAATGAGGATTGGAGGGATTGAGAAATTGAAGAATCTTAGGAGATTAGAGTTGAATTTGGTTTGCACCCCTAATACTGATCTGCTTGCACTTGATCTGTTTTTGCAAAATTGCCCTCTCCTACAAGAGTTGCACCTTGTCTCAAAGTCTCCTCCAATTAAAGGCCTTGTAAGTGCAAATTCACAATCTCTTAAATGAATAGTAGATGGAGGAAAAATGTTAAAGTTGCAAACAAAAAAGATAAAAAAAATCATTTAATTGTAATAATATACAATATAAATTTCAAATTATTGATGATTAAATTATTTTTGGAAAATCAAACTTTCAAGGCATGTCTTGCAAAATCGGGAGATGGAGGTGCGAAAGGGGTCGAATGTCTTCATTGTCACCCAAACTTGAAGAAGGCGAGTTTCAGCGGGTTCGAGGGAACGGAAAATGAGATGAATTTTTCTTTGTATATATTGAGAAGTGCAGTGGGACTAGAGGAAATGGTGATCAATAGGTGTGGGAAGCATTACATGGGATATGGAAGGTGGAAGAATGTGAGCAAAGAGCCATGGAGTGAAGAGACTCATCAAATGATTCAGAATCAGTTGCTTGCCCATGGTCTTGGTTATGGATCTCTTCTAGTCCATATTCACAATGCATCTTAATTTGGATCATATGTGTGGGAAGGTTGGGATGAAAAGTAAAATAAGAGTTTTGATGACTTTAGAAATAATTAGTTTGTATAACTCTCCTACTTGTGTGACATTAGCCAATATTGTTACATACATGAATACATTTGGTGCAAGAGTATCTCCTAAGAAAGTACACATTCATACGTTATGTTTACACAAACTTCTTCACATAAGAGTTTATTGATTATTAATCTTTTTGAAATGGTGCTTCGAAACGAATGTAGTCGTACATTACCCCTCTCCAAGGACTTGACCCTTTGACTTGCCTGAAAAAGATTGAGTTGGTTCCTATTCCAAGTAGAGACCCCGGCACGTCAACCTTGAACAGCCAATACAACCCGTGAATGCCATGTCTTGCAATCGCGTTGTCCTTTCCTATAAAACCGGTAGTGAAGTGGGGGATTGCCATCTCCGGATCATTCACTCCGACCTATGCTTGTTTCAAAACACAACGGTTTAGTTACACAATGGATCGTTATGGTCTTTAGACATTAAAATTTGGCATGACTAGTAATGCAAAGTGTACAATTATATGGTTCGAAAATGACGTCTTTACCCTTGTCTAAATACAGTTACATGGTTAGTACCTGCAATTCAGCTTCATGTGCTGATGCCAATGCAATCCAAAGGGTATAGTTTTCAAACTCATCAACATTGCCAAGCTCAAACTCAATTGTCCATGTCGTTGGTATATATGTTTTGTTTCCTTCATCCCTACAATAATACATTAAAAACTACATTAAGAACAATTTTCTCTCATTTTCCATATTTAATTTAAAGATGTGTCTTGCATTTTCCACAATCCTTTTTAACAAAAAGCATAGCCACACAATGTTTACTTTCCTAAATTCCGAAAGTCAAACCAAGAGTAGTAATAAACGGAAACGAATGTACAGAAGTAACAGTAACATAGCCAGTAAATTTCCAGAGTGCATATGAAGGGGGTTTGTGTAATTAAGCAGACATTACCTCTACTTAAAGCAAAGATACCATTTTCCAAGAAAATCAAAGTGCCAAATAGAGTAAAAGTTAAATTAAAGTGGCATTTACCCTAGTAGCACATATCTATTGACATGTGCAAAAAACCAATCAATCTGATAATCGCTTGTTCCAATTGTAAAAATCAAATCTTCATCTGGATAGAGTTCAGTGTACTTGTCCCACAAGCCATATTGCCTATACCTGAAATCACAGAGTTCATATGCTCTTAACCATTTTTATATAGAATTAATAACATAACATTTGACAAAAAAATATAAATCAAGCTAGAATGAAGATTTATTTATTACTTTAAAAAAATCATAATGGCTTTCTTTTACACTCTAAAAAACATGCAGGTTTTAAGGAATTTTGTCACGGAACTTGTCAGGAAAAAAATGTGGAAAATAAACCAACTTATCTTAATATGATGTCCTAAATCTTGAATGTTTGCATATTCATGTTACATTATTTTTTTACATGCTTACTTTTCTGATGTGTCCTCAGTGTACAATTGGTTCAGAAGCATAGGATAAGGATCCGGGATGAGAAACTCAGATGCAGTCCGATCCGGGATTCCGATCTCCCAGAGCGTGGGACCTACTCTTGGAGGATCATATATGAGATTCCCAAGCCTGATTCTTGATCCTGGTGTGATATTAATGTTGAAATCATATCTGTAATTACCCATAAATCCAGGGACCCATGCATGCAAGCTATACTTTCCTGGGATGATGTCTTTTATCAAGAAATACCCTTCGGAATCAGTTTCAGTCCAAAACTGGTAACCCTGTACAATGCAAAATACTTGAGATTCTTGAAGAATACCGTATTTAATGACAACATAATTATAATCACCGCCCCCATAAAATCAATAATTCTACAATAATACTTATAAAGAACTTTTAGTTTACACGGATCATTTTAGAAGCATAGATGTGATCGATCAATATACAATTTTGGAGTACTACAGAGTATTTTAAAATACTGAATTTCTTTGAAAACTTGTGCTAATTATGTAATCTTGGAGTATTCTTGTAAAATCTCAAATTTCTGAGAATTTTTAACATGAATTATGACATCATTTTTAAAACTGTGAAAATTGAAAATACAACTTTGTTATTTTGACACCGGGTTTGAGTGTCATATTATGACACCAGGCTTATTTGAATACGGTGTTCTGTTCGACCACGAAGTGGTTCTTACCCCTCTTAACACCCCTTACAAAACCCCTATCCTTGCACCCTACCCCAACCTCCCCCCACCCCCATTGCACCCCTCGAAATTGATGACCAAACATCAACTAAAAGTAGGGAGCGTTATTGGCGGGGCTAGGGTGGGGTACAGAGGACGGGCTGGAAATGGGGATTTGTAGGGGGATAGAAACTACTTCGGAGTCGAATGGAGCATCATATGATACTTTAATTGGAAAACAATCATTAGAACAAGAAAAGATTATAACCTTGCTTTCATATTGCCATGATCCCGAATTGCCCGGAGAAGCAAGCCCAACAGGAGCTGAATTAGCCGTCATAAGCCTTTCGTTTATGTAGCTGTAAATACCAAAAAAAAACTTTCAAGCTTCAAATTATATAGACTTGGCCTTTCAATGATATGCAAACTGATGGTAACTTCACTTGTGTGGTGGGATATGTTCTTATTCATTTTTTTTGTCAAAAAAAAAAAACCCCAGTGAAAAGCTCAAGCTTGTAATTCTAGATCCTGGTTTTTATACTTTAACAAAGACTTGGTTTCACCCTTGAGACTTACCTATCTTGAACTAGTAGCCGACCAGTTACTGTGCCTCGTTGTTGAGCAGGAACAAATGCTTCAGAAAGTGGGAAATCGTATGGCCAGTTTTCGGTTTCAATGAACATCTGCTCCTTTGCATCTGCCCAAAGATCACCCAAACCGTATTGGTCAGTCGAATCCGAGTTCAGGTAGATGAAGACAGGGCCGTAAACCATTCTCCACGGCTCTCTGTTTCGGAACTTCAGCCCCAACATCTCTCCAGCATAATGTGTGCTGAAAAACATCTGTTACATTGCAACACCATAAATGAACACAACAAAACTTGTGGGGTGTTTGCTGATAGTGTTAAGAAATCAACTCAACGAGAGGACAAAACTTGTGGCCCTAAGTTCAAAAAAAGGTTTGGGACTTTTTTGGTGATCTCTAATATGAAAAATCTACCTAATTAAGACTAAGCGGAACTTATACCACAAATAGACCTCATATGTCTTATCTCCTAAATTAGAGTGTTGACATTGTAAAACGCCCGTAATTTGGCATTCTGTGTTGGCATTTCACAAAGTTGTTTGACATTCAGTTTTTTGCATTACAAGTCACATTTTACTATGAAAACACTGAATGTTCTATTTTGGCATATGCAGCATGTCTTAGTCCTAATTAGTTATGGGTGTTGCTATATATTCAACTCTCATTTTGGCTAAATCCAGTCTATTTATGTTAAATTGACAATTTTATTCTTAAAAATACAAAAAGGAAATTTAGAATTTTAGATGCAAAGTAATATCAAATTGGCAAAGTAGTCTATCTAACATAAAAAGAATGAATTTAGCTAAAATAGGGATGAATATAGCAACACCCATGCACTTCTTCCTTTTGATATTAAAAATCTTTTGTGGTTGTTGGGTGAAGCCAAGTTAGACATGGTTCGAGTTTGATATCTCTTCATATCAAAATCTCCCAAATGGGGATGTTTTGATATATTCCTCAACCGCCGGCTCCTTTCGTTGGCCACCCACCGTAGCCTACCTCCTCGCATCGCGCCACCCACCCACATTGCTAGTCACCAGTCGCAACCGAGCACCCTTACTTCTCACTAACAAATTGATCAGATTTTAAATATTTATACACCTTCATTTCAAATTTTAGAATCCAAATAATTTCTTCTAGATTTCAGAACACGTCATTTATAGTGTTATAGATAATATATAGGAGACTAGGAGTATATACTTACAGAAAGAGTGATGGGGCCAGTATGTGAAGTAAGATCTTGTTTTGAAGGTCCGCCATTTCGAAACTCATTGCTAGGAGTGATCATCCAAAACCCTGTTGGCGGGTCCGAACTTATCCACCCATGGACTCGATTATCCTTGTTTTCACAAGAATACTGATATTTATCATCAACCTATAGATATGCAGACATGCATACAACAAAGAAAAGAAGCATGACTAAAACAATGAGTAAAGAATGAATTTTTTTAAAACATAGGGTCCCTTTGGTGAAAGCAAGAGATGTACGTTTTAATATTTATCAATGGCAAAACCCTTTTGCGGGTGTTTGATAAGACTAAACATGATTCAGATTTAATATCTCATGATATCACAATCCTCCTAAATGAGGGTTTTTAATATCTCTCGATTTCATAATGTCAAATTCTAGAACTCGTATCATTTTTTTAGATTTTTATAACTCATATTGTATCCAGCTTCACTCACCAAATAGGCCTTTAACATTTCATATTCAATAAGTAAAAAATAAAAATGTCACATAATATATATGGTCATTGTTGTTTTTACCTCTCCTCTCAAGTAAGAGTTGTTTGGATTGATCAAAAGAACAGCTTCGGGGTAGTCAAGTACTTTACCCTCTTCTCGGTCTTGGGCAGTTGGCATTATTCTTTGCCTCTCATCGGAAACAGCCATATATTGGAACCTATCAACAACACATGCGTTCAATTAAGCTCCCTAAGAAGGTTAAATCAATTATATTTGTATAAATAGGCGCACGATTCTTTTAACCTTGCCCCCAAATGTCATAATATGACCTCGGTTATTTAGGACACTTACACTCAACGTTGTAAGTGTCCCAAACACACTAATGCCATATTAAGACATTTGGAAGCAATGTCAAAAGAAAGGAGTCTATTTATACAAATCTAATCGATTTTACCAATTCTATATACTTACAAGTGTTGATCAAGTTTGAAGACAATTCGGCCTTGGTAGACATCTATATCTGGCCACCCTTCTGAACGTTCCAATATACCATATGAGTAAAACCCGCTTGCTCCACGCACCACTACATACCTGCATTTTCATTATTCGATTAACTATTGGAGTAGATTGAATTTGGAATTTGGATTTCAAATTCATATTTGGATCAAATTCCATGTTTGGATCAAAATCCATGTTTGGGAAATCTTAAAAAATTGGATTTAGATTTGGATTTGACGCAAATTTCTCTAATTCTTTCAATTGCAAATCCACATGTCTCAATTTTTGGAATCGCAATGCAAGAATCGAAATGAAATGCTAGTTCCCAAACAATACCATTATGTATCATTTCCCATGTTTTACATGGTATCAAAGCATTTTCAAGGGTCGTCTCAGAAACCCTAGACGCACGCCCTTTCCCCGTCGTAGGTGCGCCTGTCCGGCCGCCGCTGATTTACGGTCGGTTAAGCCTGTCCGGCAACCGATCGTCTAAAGCGCGTGCACTTTGTTCGTCCGGCGTGCTTCTCAGTCTCCGGGGGTTTCTCGTCCGCGACAGCCATCGACGCTGCGCGTTGTCTACTGGCCCTGGTTTTCTGAATTGGTGATTGCCGGATATTGCCTAATTGGAAATTAATCCGGCCGCCCTTCATGGCTCGCCGGCCCGTTTCATCGCCGGTGGAGTTTGTTCGGCCGTATGAATTGATTTAGCGGCCAATTGTGTTTCCGTTGTTTGTTGACTTGCCGCCACCTCAATTTAAGGTTTGTTTTGAGTTTGGTTTATTTTAATTTCAATTTAAATTTTAATTGGAAGTCTCTTATGTCCTCCACAATATTTTAAACACTAATCAAATGGCTTTTCTTCTTTCTCTTCTTGTATGAATTCTATCTCTCTCTATCGCATCATATAACATCATATAACAGATGTTTATCTCAGATATAAAAATATAATATAGGTTCTTGTATTGAAATGAATGTGTGAAACTTTCTTATGATTTAGTTCTTACTGACATGCTATTTGTGCCTAATTTGAACTGTCATTTGATCTCAAGTTAATACTTTTCATGAAAATTTTAATGAACATTGTCTTATAATATAGGATATTCAGAGTGAGTTGCAAAATGAGTTGTATGTCTTCCGCTCATATTTTGTCTTAGCTTATGCTTCTACTTCTCATATAGTTATAATTCTCCATAATGTCCCGTTGAGGTTCGAACCAGCAACGGTCATTCTAATGCCGCTAGACCGAAAAAACCTTTAGAGTAATCAATCTCATTTAAAATATTAAGAAAAGCATAAGTACCTTTTGTCAATATTCATTGAAAGGATAGAGTCATTATAAGTTGTATCCCATGTCCTTGTGAATGAAAGCTCTACTTGGTCATCATCTCCAATAATTATTGAATAATTAGTCCCTTCAAGCCTGCATAATATTGTTTTATAAAAGCACAAATAATTTTTTTAAGAGTAAATTAAATTGAATTAATCCCGTGGGATAGAAAAACTTACTTATCAATCATGTTACCCGGAGTATCTGCTTTATTCCAAACAATGTCCCAATATCTAAATTGAAACTAATATAAAATTACTTATCACAGTGACAAATTATAATATGTTATTTCAAATATATATGTATCTATCAATTAAACACATTAAAATTAGAAAATAAGAAATAAATCGCAATGAATTACCCTCTATTATTTTCTAAATTATCAGCTTCGAGCAAATTATCAATTCCATTAAATTGTATTCCAATGACCATTCCACCTGGAGTAGAAAAAGTGACTCTTAGGAGGCCATTATCCACTACTACCTATATGGTGGAAAAGATGTAAATATTAATTAATTTATTCATAAATGCTCAATAAAAGCATATTACGAATAGTAATCACTTAAGAACTCATGAATTATTGATGTAAATGTAATTATTACCCACTAAATAATGACCCAAAAATATTGTATTAGATTGGATTACTTTCACTTTTTTCGATAGTGTCCATAATTTTGGGTATTACGTGCTCTAATTTAATTACATATTATTTGTACTAGAAATTTATAAAAAGATAATATTTCATAGAAGTTAAAATGCGACAATTTAACATCATTATAGTTTTATACATTAATGAAGAAATATGACTACAATAAAATAGTGTGAAAGCATGAATATTGCACCTAAAAAAAGTAAGATTGAGAAAAAGTGAAAGACTAAAGAAAGACCAAAATATCGAGTTATATCTACCTATTAAAGTGAAAGTTAAATTGCAACAATTTACTCTCACTAATATACTTGATTATCTTATATATATTTTCTCCTTTTCAAATCAATTTGGGGTACTAATTAATAGTATCCCAAGTTGATGGGTTACAAAAGGATGAAGGTTTTATTTTAACGGTCCGGTTCTGTGGCTACTGGTTTCAGTGGCCACGGAAGTTACTGTCCCGATTCAGACACTTACAATGTTCCATTCGTAAAATTGATGATGCTTACCCCTCTTAACCCCTTGGTAAACCTCTTGCCCAGTCCTGACACTAACTCATCCCCTACTTACGTCAATTGCACCCAGCAATTTTAGTTGACTTTGAGGTCAAAATTTTTGACTTTAAAAGCAACTATACATGCGGGGTGCAATTGACGTAGGTGGAGGATGAATTAGGGTCGGGATTGAGTAGGAAGTTTACTAAGAGGTTAAGAGGGGTAAGCATCATCAATTAATTGGAATCATTGTCATAAAATGACAATAAAATCCAATATCACCCTATCCCTAAGTAAATAATTAAAGCCAAAAAATTTTTTACAATTTAAGGGTAGAATAGGAAAGTGGTGCGTACTTGCCCATCATCCTCCATCACAAGCAATTGAACCGGTGGATATGATTGCCTCTCTTCTAAGCTGTTCTTTTTATGAATTTTCCTACAAACATTAATTAAATGAGGTCTCTTAATTAAACCAAATGCATGCTATTATAGACTTAAAATTCATCCTAGTTTATATGAACTTTGATATGAGAGTGGTAAACAAATATTTACTATCCAGGAAAAGAAAATATCCCCTATGTTTCACAAAATTGTTTCGCCTTATTTTTTTGACCACCTTACAAAATATTTTTAGACCACCTAAAATGTCTAAAATAGTTCTAAAACAACTCCTACACACAATAAAGAAGAAACGAAGTGTATTCACGAGGATTTTAGGTGAGCTAAAACGGTTTTGTGAGTTGCGTAAAAAGTTACAATGACACTATTTTGTGTAATGAAGAATTTGAAAAATCAAATAAGTTGACATCTTTTGAGGGTCTCCAATAAAAAGTATGACTTTGAAAAGAACGGACAGCTTTAATTTGCTTCACAACTCTAGATGAGTAGACTTCTTCATTGTGCAAAACAATTGAATGAATCTTTTCCAAATCTGTTCTTCTCTTTAGATTGTTTGTTGGAAAATGCTAATGGGTCCTTTTAAGGCATTTTCTTATGCTATCTCTTTGTCCCATAATTTTCCTCTTATTTGTTTTTTCCCGGTTCCAATGCACTACTTAATCATTGATATCTTTATTTATATATATTAATATAGATTATAAAAATGCAAATTTTTAAAATTAATCTATTGATATTAAATCGATATCATGATACAATTTTTGATCAAGTTCAAGTGAAAGAAAATTACACAAGGAAAGGAGAAATATGGGGCAAGTAATTAAAAATGTTTAAAATTAGCCAGGTAAGAAGATTAAGAAAAATTAAAATTATTGTATATTCGAAAATAGCAGACAAATACCCAGAGACAGAAAATATTTTTCTAAAAGTGGAAAGTGAAATGTATTTTTGAAACGGAAAAATATTGTAAAACATTATTGCGGGCCAAAAGATGGGGGGGAAAAGAAGAGAGAAATTAAATAAAGGATGGGAAGAACCTAACTGCCTTTTAAGAGCACAGTCTGCGAGAAGAAACAGCTGAAGAAACAGAGTCCCAAGAAGATGAACCAGAAAAGCTCTTCTTCTTCTTCTTCTTCCTCCTCTCCTCCTCTTCCACCCCATTGTATATCGATCAGTACTTTGTATATATATTTGCCTGCAACAAAATTTAAACTCCTCTATGGAATTATATATGGATACATATATATATATATGTATGTAATAATGTGGATCGGAGCTACTATATATACTTAATTAATTAATTAATTGATAAGAATATATACATATAGTACTAATGTGTGTGTGTGTGTACATATATGTATATATAAGAAGAAGCCAAAGATGATGCATGCCGCAGGTGGCAACACTAACCGCTGAATCTCTCTCTCACAAATAAAGTGTGAAGTCCCAATGGGGTGTGAATTTAATTTGGAAATAAGACAAAGACGAGGAAAATATGTGTAACAATACCATTGACTCTTAAGGGTGCAGTGGGGATGAGGTGAGAATGGTTTTTTAGTGAGAGAAATGGGAAGGGTGCATTATTATGGTAGTGCACTCTTTGTAGTGGCATAAAAGTTCAACTTGTTTACTGAAATGCCATCACATTTTTCTAAAATTTTGCTTGTTTTCTACTCCTTCTGTTCTATAGAACCATTATTTCTTAAAAAAAGCGCACCCAGTAATTTTTGTATTATTTTCTAATTTTGCTCTTACTTTATAATAAAGTAAGGGCAAAATTATTGACCGTTACAACTTAATTTTGGCCTTGTTTAGGAACAATATTTTCGATTACCGTTAGCATTTTAGAATAAAAATTTAATGGTATAAATTAATTCTGAAAATGCTAACCCTAAAAGCTACTGTCGGATAGCCTTTTCAAAATGCAATGCTAATCTCTGACGCTGATGCCAAACAGGGTCTTACACTCGTCACTCTTCTTCTAAAGTATCTTCATTTTTTATTAATAAATTCATTTTTTTCTCCTACTAATTCTTACCCAAATTATCATGGTATATTAATTTATCAAAATTAATCTACTCATTATATACAATGATAAAATTTGAAAATCAACTATGAAGTACTCCCTCTGTCCTATAATGTTCTTCCCGTTTCTCTTTACGAGGTTTGACCGACTTTATTTTCAATTCAATTTATTTGATTGTAGGTGTAAATTAAAAAATAAAATTTATATATTTAAAAACTACATCAAAAGTTCTACAAGACAAGTGGTGGCAAGACTATATTATTTTATCAAATACCAAATGAAAATAGGTAAAGAAAGTGATTAAAGTTTGAACGTATGAAAAGTAACTGGGAAGAACATTTTAGGACGGATAGAGTACAAAATAAACTCTAATTAAATTTGTCAAAAAATACTCTAATTAAAATTGAAAAAGTATGTTTCAATATTTGTTTGGTTGACACTCCATATAGTTATTGGGAGAAAAAGTAAATTGTAATTTTGGAAAACTGACTATATACGTTGTGAAGTGGCATTGATTTTTTTGGTTAACCCTTGCACATTAATTACTTCCATGATTTGAATACTTTGCTTGGAAACCAAAACATTTACAAAGTTTAATAAGGATGCGTTTGGTATACAGAATTCAAATTATAGAATTAGAATTGAGTACAAAAATTCTAATTCTATTATTTGATAACACAAAAATATGTGGATTTGGAATATGTATTGCCAAAAATGAATTGAAATTGGAGGATTGGATTCAATCCAAATCAGTTCCATAGAATTTGAACTCCCAATTCAATTCAAATTCAATCAATTTTGTGTACCAAACGTGCCCTAAAAAACATTGTTCACATTGGGTAACTAATAAATCAATTGGGTAGTTTTTTTCTAATAAGAAATTAGAGAAATTCCTAGAGTCTACCTAGCTAGCTAGAGACAATTTTAAAATTTTAGTGCGTTGATTAAATTAAAAAAATAAGAAAAAGAGTAAATTAAAATGGGGGAAAAAATGTTACAGAATGTGACCACTGTCATGTTAGATCATGTGATACTAAACAGCAGAGACGTCCAAGTAAAGGATAAGGAAAAAGGACTGCCCGTGACCATAAAAAAAAATATTCTTCATGCTACAATTCTTTTCAATGCTTTCAAGAAGCACTTGGAATTATATTATTGGTTGCTTCTTATTTAATCTTAAATACCCCAACAGAGAAACTCTTTCCTCTTTTTTTTCTTGCCGCACAAATTTTTTTTCTTTTCTATTAAAAATTCACTATTGCAAAAATACTCGTGATGTAATGAGTAAAGTAGAATGTGATAGGTAAATTTCCTAGCTAAAAATTAAAATAGAAATATTTGTATAGGACAAAGAAAGTAATATAATGGTGAAATAATAATTGGTTACAACTTGGTTACAACATTGTTCACGAGCAAGCATTCGTGTTGGTATCTTTTGATTCAACCAATCCTTAAAAAACATGCATCTATATATATGGAGAGGAACATCATTTTTCAGGGTACATTAATTATCAAAAGTAAAATAATTCTAAGATAACTCAAAGTTACTCTCTCTCCCATAAAAAATACCAATTTAACTTTTACAAAATTTAATTAAAATATTTAAAAATAAAAATGTATAGTAGTAATTTGATTAGGTGAGAGAGAAACTATAAACCTTAGCTTGTGAATTGGATGTTTATTATTGAAAAAGAAAATAAAAAAATAAGAAGTGTTTTTTGGGATGAGAAAATATATGAGTTGAAAATAATATCGAGTAAGAGTGATTGACCTAGAACACCATAAACTATGACACTTGTGGATTGACGAAATATTATCATAACCTAAGGTCTATTTGAAAATAACGTTAAAGATCAGATTATCATTAGCGTTTTCGATAAAATTTCAATGGTGCAGATTACTTTGAAAACACTAACGCTAAAGACTGCCCGTAAATAGTATTTTCTAAACGTTAACGCTAATCGCTATCGTTATTCTCAAACAGAACCTTACAAGGTTATTATAATTTTTTGAACCTACCTTTGAATATACATAGATGTATTCTGTGGTTATTTTATTATGGTATAAGAGCAAGTTTTCAATTCTTAAGACGTCAAACATGCTTCAATTCCCTCAATGGGATGCTTCATTTCACAAGATGCGATATATATGAGTCGTATTTGATGGTTTATTTAATTTATTGACCAACATGTTTGATTTATAAAATCTTTACATTTTTAAACTACGTGTGTCAACTAGACCTGATAAAAGTTGAATTAATCTACAAAGTATTTTTTAATCTGTAAAGATTTTAATGGAATCTTAAGGTATTTTTTAAGATTTTGAAGACCAGATTTTAAGATTGTAAAGATTACGTTGAAATAGTTTGTCTATGTTTCGTAAGACTTAAGAGGAATCTAATAAGATTAAAAAACTTAGGAGATTATAAATATCCCTTTAAAATTTGCTGGTAAAACATTTTAAAAAATATCTTAAGATTTTAAAATCTAAAGATTTTATCCTGGCCTACAAAGCATTTTTAATCTGTAAAGATTTTATCAATCAACATTTGTTAATGAAAAAAGATTTATCCTTCAAAATGTAAAGATTTTATCAATCAACTAGACCTTGAGGGATATTTATAATCTCCTAAGTTTCTTAATTCTATTGGACTCCTCTTGAGAAACTCAGACAAACATTTTCCTTCGAGATCATGCTCTATTCAGTATTCACTAGGCTTAATGACTAAGATAAATATATTGAGCTAACTATATTATTCCGTAATATTTATTTTTTGATCTAAAATAACAAAAAATCATAAAATTTAAAAAAATATACTACATGAAATTTAGATTTTCACATTTTAATTAGTTATACGAGTACCATTTTGTTATTTTAACTAAATTCACAAATAATAAATTTATGAATTTTGTGAGGTAACACCGTAACAAGTCCTAACAACGTTTACATTAGTAGTCTCCGTGAACTTATCCGCCTTTACTCCCACATATGACCGCCGTGAAAATAACTCCGTCGGCGATTTCACTTCACGCCACCATCAAACAATTCGCCGACCTTCATCGCTTCCCCAGATCCCGGAATATTCTCCCCGTCCGCCCGACCCGACACAGAAGAGGTCTCGCCGTCTCCGCAATGTCTCCGGCAACGGACCCTGTTGAAGTCTGCGCTAAAGCTTCCGTTACCGTTCCGAACAGGCTTGGCGACTGTAAGTCTCCGGCACTCACATTTCTCGTCTCACGCGCACCGTCGGAGTTTTCAATTGCTTTACAGACTATCTTTGAGTAATCATCATGGTTGTTAGGGTTAGCAATTTTTGTCCAAATTATATAATTCGCACCACTAAATTGCCCCAAAGTGTAATAATTTAATCATCTAGCTGATTTCACAAGCTGCAGGAAGTAATTATTTCACGTTCTCATTAGAAATCTGGAATTTTGTGTTAGAACTTAGGGGTCCGAAAGTAAAAATCAGATTTTTACAGTTTGTAGTACATCGGGTACTTTTAGGGCTTCAGAAAGATTTCTTTAGGGCACTTGTATCAGTATGTTACGGAGTATGTGATTAACCTGTACTACATGGACTAGTATTTTACCCAAGTAAAATTTGGAACTGAGATATTGCTTTTTAGAAATCACCCTAAATAGGACTAAAACATAGATAAAAGTACTAAAATAGGACTTTCATGTTTTTTTTCTCGAAATAAGACTTTGCACTGTGATAATGTGACTTTGCCCTGTGGTAATGTGGCAGTGTACATGTGCAAATTACTATACGTTTTTGGTAATGTATATGACCATGTATGGTAATGTAAGTCCTATTTCGGGAATAAAAACATGGAAGTCCTATTTTGGTATATCTTCAATGTTTTAGTCCTACTTTGGTCTTTCTCCCATTGCTTTTCGCAATGAAGCAAATAGTCACGAGTTTAAAGAAATTTGATAATTTAAACAGAAGAAATAACATACGCACATTTTTTACAAATAGATTGCATAGCCAACACATATTGAAGTGAATATTCTATCTAAAACATACATCAACGTTATGTTTGGTTTGAGGATTTGAGAAGGAAAGGAAAAGAAAAAAGTTTTCCTCATCAAAATGGAAGGAAATCCATTTTCCTTCTTAGCTTATTCTTTTCTCTTATTATCTTTTCCTTCCAATTTTTCTTTTCTTTTTCGCTCCAAGCAAACAAAAAAAATTGTTTTCCATATCACTTTCCTTTCTTTTCCTTTTCAAATTTCTTGAACCAATCATAGTGCAATAGAATATCTATGGTTGGTAATTAAGTGCACCTTCCCCTGGCACCTCTAAATTTTGGGACTCTTATGCAGCTGCATGTCTTTGATGCCCACAGGGCCACCATTGCATTCTGAAACAGGAATGGTAGTCCAATGTATTATGTTCATATGTATCGTATTTGAGATAATCTTTAACATTAAGCATGAATTCAGCAAGGTTTATGAGGAAAATGATACATCATTCAACTTTAGTCTGCTAAGTAATTGCTACATACTGTCGGATTTGGTCATCAGAACGTTCTTAGTGTTAGTATCTCTAGTATTGTTATTTATCTTAATTAGTGTCCCTTTAACTTAATGGGGCTAAATTCATAAATTTAGGACTCATTTGACATCATTTTCTATTTCATATTTTTTTTTTGTTTCAAAGCTAAAAACAAGATTATGGAAACAAGGAAAAAATGGTTTCCAGTTTTTTGCTGTTAGCAGTTTTCAGTATTAACATAGTTTGTATAAGTATGAATACTTTTAAATTCATTATACAACTAAATCATATAACCTTAAAAATTCTAAAACTAAAGACTGGCAGCTATACCGAACAAGCCCTTAATTAGCCGATTTGCAAGAAGTGATTACTTGAAATTCTGTATGTAAATCAAGCTCTAAACCTGTATTCACCAAGTTTTCAAAGGAGGAGATTACACATACTTGAAAAAAAGCTTCCCTTCAGGTCCATTCACTCAAAGAATTCTGCTGACTTTGGAGGAAAAGCATCTTCCATACAACTTGAAGCTGATTGACTTGCGCAACAAACCAGAGTGGTAATGTGAAGGCCTGAAAAAGTTTTTTTTCCCTTGTGATGATATTCCATGTTATACATTTTTTCTTTGTGGTTGGAAATGTTTTAAAATAAAAATTCTTATTTTAAATTATTTTGATACAGGTTTTTTGAAGTAAGCCCAGAGGGTAAGGTTCCTGTTGTTAAGCTCGATGAGAAATGGATTCCAGATTCAGATGTCATCACACAGGCTCTGGAAGAGAAGTTTCCTGATCCGTCACTGATAACACCTCCAGAAAGGGCTTCTGTGTATGTTTTTCTATCAGACTGATCTAATCTGAATATGTGGAATTCCTTGGTTCCTCCATGGTTTGTCACTATTGGTCATTCAGACCTTTTATGCCGGCTTCATGAAACAGCTGTTCAGCCCGTAACATCCACTATAGGGTGGCTATTCATTTCTTGAAAGCCATTCTGATAAATAGCCCTGAGAAAAAGGCCCTTATCCTCTACTCTCTACATGCAAATTTACTGATATGGACAATGCATTCCCATAAGCTGTAGTAGCAAGCATTGTCTAAAGACGATATGCTGTATTTATCATACAGAGTATTATTTTTAATAACAACACAATTATTTACTTTCTACTCCGTAGTTGTTTACTAACCGTGGGGTGCCCACACTTCCTTTTTGGGATGTTTGGAATTAATCGTTCATCATATTTCTAAAATTTGAGGGGTTGGGACAAGTCACAAGTGAGCAAGTAAACCAGACAGAGGGAGTAAAGCTTTTAGGTCTTTGCTTGAGTTTTTCCAGTGGCTATCAAATAAAGTACTTCCTCTAGCAATTTAGAGTTTATACTACAATAGTGTTATTCTCTTAATATGTATGTGCATGTGTGCTTGTAGTGGATCAAAGATCTTCTCCAAGTTTATTGGTTTTCTGAAAAGCAAAGACACAGGTGATCAAACGGAGCAGGCTTTATTAGAAGAACTGACTGCTTTTGATGATTACCTTAAAGAAAATGTAAGTCATTTATCTGTTTACATACATGTATCTTACTTGAGCACGAGAAGAACTCATTAGTTATTACTCTATTGCTAAAAAAAGTCACGTCCAAAGACTTATTTCCGAAAAATTCTTATTTCATAAAATGATCTTTTTTCCATGTGATTTGCCAGAACAAAGTTACAACTGAGTTTAATATGAGTAAAAAACCAATATTTAAGTTTAAATTTATACTCGTAGGTCGTAAATAATACCCCGGAGTATTCCATTTTTTAAGAGTTACATCTAACCAAAATTTAGAAGTCCGTAACTTGGTCTAACAAAACTTTTTTTTTTTCTTTTTGGGATAGCTATTACAATCCATCCAATATACTGGATGAAGTATTAACATTCTTGAACTGTTGTAACAAATAAAATTCCCATTTATTTTATCGTTGGTAATATCTTCAACCAAAAACCATCTTGCACTTAACTTTGTTTGGAAATTTTCAACTAGATAGCCAAGCCGCTATTTGGTGGTTTTCCGTTCTTAAAGACTAGCCTCTGTTTACAGGCTTGGAGTGTTCATCACGTAGAGAACTAGCGATTAGAGATGCATTTGCTTTGACATTGATACATGTTTTCAGAAAAGTGGTTTTAATTTTGTACCTTATTTTCGTGGAAGGGCCCATTCATCAACGGTAAAGAGGTGTCTGCTGCGGACTTGTCTGTGGGACCAAAGCTGTTCCACATGGAAATTGCTCTGGGGTACTACAAGAAGTGGTCAGTCCCCGATTCACTTGTCTATGTGAAGTCGTACATGAAGGTATGCCATACTTATGCTCCCAATCTCAGTACCAGACACTAACTTCTTAGAAAGATTTATGTTTCTCTTTAAAATTTGTGGCTGCCTGCCCCGTATAACTTTGAAATTTTTACACTATGTTTGGTTCAAGGAATTTTGAAGGAAAAGAGAAGAAAATGGTTTTCTCTCATTTTCCTCACCAAAATGGGAGGAATTTAGTTTTCCCTCAACTTGGTACATTTTGCCTTCTCGTTTTCTTTTCCTTTCACTTTTCCTTTCTTACCAAACAAAAAAACTTGTTTTCCACTTTATTTTCTTTTCTTTTCTCTTATGAATTCTTTGAACCAAACATAGTGTTAGGGGAAAAAGATACAAATCTCGGGCTCTTAAGCTATGTTTGGAACTTGGTAAATGGAAAGAAAATTGCTGTGAAAAATGTATTTTATGCTCATATTCTTAAATGTATTTAGATTTCTTAGTCCCTATATAATTAAACCATTTAAACAGGGTGAAGTTTGAACCATCATCTAAAATTGGCATTTTGAGCTCACTCTAACTTTTTCATTCCATTCCTACAAATATTTGGCTTCCCACCCTCCAAAAATTTTGAACCAAATAAGGAGAGGAGAGCATTTTCCCTCCCCTCCCTCCAAATTCCCTTCTACCAAACACACTCTTTGGGTATGTTTGGATCCCGTAAAATGTTACTCCGTATACACTTAAGTTATTTTCTTTCTTTGTTATTTTCTGGGCTCATTCTTGTAACCTGTGTGTCTGTCTGTGCCCAAACACCTTTTTCACTTGATCTGTTGCAGACCATATTCTCCCGGGACTCCTTTGTCAAAACAAGGGCTTTGACGGATGATGTCATTGAAGGCTGGAGATCAAAAGTCGAGGGGTAGATCGGGTACGTTTTCCGGATCTGATTACAACCCGAGTCATGTGCACGTACCAGTTAGCAACCCCACCGTGTTTCACTCATTTTGTTTATGGTGTTTGAGAATAAAAAATGCAAACTTGGACACATTGTGTTATTTGGAGAAATATGGGTGAGCTTGATAATTTAGACTGCAAAAACCTCCGACATATGCACATTTACTAGTCAAACAATACTCATTTCGCATATTTATTGATTTACATATACTTATGGATCAATTTATTTGTTTAGATATACTAATAGATCACGCATGGCATTAAATTGATGCATGCATTTTTAATAATGGCACAATGTTTTTTTTTTTTTTTGCTAAAAGAAGTTTTTATTTTATTGCTAATTATATATGAGTGAATTAAAATAAAAGTTTGAAAATAAAATTATAGAAAAAAGAGCATTTCTGCTTTTACATTTATTCAGAATGTGCATATTATAAAAATAGTTAATTTTACGAGTTACTCGAGATGAACCTACAACAATGTAGGTATATCCAGATGTACGGTATAATTTGCTTGAACCAAACACATCCCTAAAGTATCCGATCTTGAAGTGAAAAAATAAGCTCTTATTATGCGAGTACATTCATTTGTTACATAGTGTTAGGTAAGGGTGAGCAAATACCGAACTAATCCTGAAATTTCTCAAAACAAGTACATTCATTCTATTTATATTAATTTGAGGAGCCAATTTTGACATTCAAAACCTTATTTATTCACGATCATATCATCTCTCTATACAGCTGATCAGCTCTACTTTGATCACCCTTCTCCAAGTGGCAAGAAATCAACAATTTGCAGAGATCAGAACTTGGAGTTAAACTTCTTGCTTTCATTAAACACAAAAATTTCTCTGCTTCACTCAGTCTCCCAGCTTTACAAAGGCCAATTATCAGCCAAGTAAAACAAGAAGAGTTGGGAGAGATTGACCTGTACTCCATCTCATAATAAAGCTTGAGTGCCCCTTCAATGTCACCTTCCTTGGCATGACCAGCAAGAAGATGGTAGTAAGCGTTTTCGTCCGGAACAAACCCTTTGTCTAACAGGACAGTCAACATCTGGTCGGCCTCCTTCGCCATGCCATTTTTGCAGAGCTTTTCTGTCATTACGTTGAAAGCCCAAGGGCTAGGAACATACCCTATCTGCACCATTTTCTTGCAAAAACCCAAGCTTTCGTTTACCCTTCCCGAGTTCGAACACCCCTTTAGGAGACTATTGAATGTCTCGAGGAGCGGTTTCATGTCGACTTTTTCCATTTCGCGCGCCAACACGATGGCATCATCCACTCTTCCATTGTCACAATGTGATGAGATGAAAATGTGGTACACAAAAGCATTCCCTTGGAAACCTCTCTTGAGCATTTCGTGGTACGTGTTCCACACCGAATCCAAATCACCCATCTTCACCTTTGCGAAAACAACCAAAGAGTATGAAACCGTATCAACTATCATATTCTTCTGCAGCATTCTCTTCAACAGCACTAACCCTTCTTCGGTTCTCCCATCTTCTATCATCCCATGGATCAAGCGAGTGTTCACAACCACCCCGGGCCCACATCTCTTCCCGTGAATCCTACCCACGAGATCCACAAACCATTGCAGCCTCCCTTCTTTGCAGAGAGCACTAACCATGGTTTCGACAGTGGTTTGATTAGGGTTTACTCTTTTTGCAATCATATGACCATATACATCCCAAACCATTCTATGGTTCTTGGATTTTTGCAGCACATGAAGCAGAGTGTTATAGCTAACAACGCTAAGAAGAAATCCATTTTCATCTAAGCACTTACAAACATCAAAAGCTCTATCTAAAAGTCTCAGCTTAGAACAAACTTGGACGAACAGATCAAACACAAATGGCACAGAATCAATGGATTCGTAACTTTCGAGCAGTGAATCAAGAACTGTAAAAACATCAGAATTACCCGGTTTGGTCAAAACCGACTCGAGCAATGCCTTGGCGTCCTTTACGAGCCTGGCCTTGGCGAGAATGTGAATGGTGATGCAATAGGTCAGAACGCCATGGTTGAATCTGGCGGATTTTCCTGACCAGTGGAAGAAATTCAGAGCTTTCGTTGCATTGGAAGTGTCTTTGAGGTTGAGGAGGACTCTCCTGACAAGTGAGCTCGTGAGATTGATGGAATTGAGTTCCTTCGATAGGGTTTCCCAGGTGTGGCGTCGGCGGAGGGAGTTGCAGACGGCGGTGACCGCATCGTCGTCGATCTGGAGCTCCGAAGGCTCTGCGGAAGCGAGAGAGAGTATTCTGGAGGAGGAGGATTTGGTTGCTGAACGGCGGCTGGCTATGGAGAGGAAAGCGCGCGACGAGGCGGCCATTTCCGGCGATATCAAATTGCTCTGTTAGAGTTTTGATTTTTTAAAATTCCATATTATGCCCTTTGATTATTTTCCACATTACCCCATCAATTCCAAAATTTTACCAAAAAGGTTTTTTTTTTAAATTTTTTTACCGTTTGATTTCCACGTTATATAAGAAAAACGTTTAAATATGAAAATATATTGATTAGAATTTGTTTAGATTAAATAAAATTATTGTGAGTTATATATTCTCTATTACTTTCTCTGTTTCAAAAAAGTGTTACATTTTACTACTCGGTATTAAAAATCACAAAAATTTTATCGCGGTAATTTAGAAGTATGGTAAAACGTTAAGGTAAATACGTTCCAAAAAACTGAAAAAGTGTATCATTCCATGTTAAGAATGGATTAATTCACCCATAAACTTTTTTATCGCGGTAATTTAGAAGTATCGTAAAACATTAAGGTAAATACGTAGTAATAATTTAAATAAGGGAAAAAAAAAACCTGTGGTTGACAAAATGCAAACCACGGTTCCGTATTATTACTATTTAATTAAACACAAAAGTTTAAAGAAAAGAAAACCATTAATCTAATAACTAATTAATGAGGGCAACATGACGTACTAATTACAACTTAAGCCAGTTTGGAGGGGGCAAAGGTGATCAGCTCCTTCTCGGTGGCGCGTGGCTTGACAAAGACCTCGGCGTCGAACGTCTTGGTGGCGCCGCCGGACGTCTTGGCGGTGATGCGGAGGTAGTACTTCATGCCGGCCACCACCTGCTTCTCCGCCTTCACCACCTCGGAGAAGGTGATCGGGCCGCCGCCGCCGCCACCGTTCCCGGCGGCCGCCTTCTTCTCCTTGAGCCCCTTGTTATACTCCGCCACGCAAAACTTGGCCAGTTCCTGGACCTGTTTGTTGGATTTCGCGTCGGCGATCGGAGACCTGCCGCCGACGCCTCCCCCTACCTGGCCGTTGGCCAGAGCCGCCATGGCCACTAGGGAAACCATGACAAGGAAAAGGTTGAGTCCAAAATTTTTTGCCATTTTTTTTATTTTTTTATTTTAATAAATAATATTTTTTTGGAGGTTTTTTTATTTAATTTGTTTTATTTGGCTAGTGTGTGAGGGAACAAAGGGGAGAAGAGAAGGGTATAAATAGTTGTTTGGGGAATGAGAGTGTGAGGGAGAGCACCATAAGCGGTGTTAGGTTGATTGAGGGGCCATGCATGCATGCTTATGTTAATTAATATAATCCACTTGATAATAGAGTGATTATAGAGGAAGAGGTTGATTAATTAGTTGTACCCATATTGTAAATTTTAGGTAATTAGTTAACTAACTTTGTTATTGTCATCTCATTATAATAGTGTTATCGTCATTGAAAGTTGAGATAATAATTAGGAAAAAAGACTTAGACAAAGTAAAATATTGAAAATATATCAAAATAATAGTTTTATGTTTTTATTTCTCAAATATGAGTTAAAATGCATCTACAGTGTCAACCATGACCATATACATTACGAAAAAGTATAGTGTCACAGTATGACACTGCAAACTCCTAATTTTGGGACAAAAGCATGATGTTCCTATTTTGGTACTTTATTTATGTTTTACTCTTATTTAGAGTGATTTTTTTAATCATTATACGGTCTCTATAATATTTTCAATTAGCATTATGTTTTAGATTATTTTTTAAATTTTTTAATTGTGCAGATTAACTTTAAAAATGTTAAGATTGTTGTTAGATAAAATTTTAAAATATTAAAATTAAATGTTGAAATCGTTTCAAAACGAACACACTATTTTGATGCATTAAGAGTATATCTGAATGGAAGTAACACACATATTGCGGCCAATGTATTTATTTTTATAATGTTTCATTATACATAGAGTAAGTATCACATATTGAGGCCTAAGAATATACTCCCTCCGTCCCAATTTAAATTTTATGTTTCGGTTTTTTATGTTTGTCTGAAGTTATTTTCAAATCATTTTATATGAGAAATGATGTATAACTAAAAAATAAAAATTACATATTAAAAAATTACAGCAAAAGATCAACAAAATTAGTGTGACATAACTATATTATTTTATCAAATGACTAATGAAAATAGAAGACAAATTGAATAAAGTTTGATCTTGTGAATAATAAAAAATAATTTAATTTGGAACGGAGGGAGTAATATATTAGAGCTGAGGTCTAGATATGAAACTCTTTATTATTGGGACCATTAATGAAATTTACTCAGTTTAAAATGTCATAAGTTTGCATAAGAGTTATTTATATATAAATATAAATGATAAAAATGAAATAGAGATGTTTTACGCCTGATCATTCCGATAATGCTTGCATCCTCTATATTACCACCACTGTTGGTACAAATTAAAGTTACCCGATGTTTATTCCTCAAATATCGTCATTGCTTCTTCTCCAAGAAGAGAAGCACCTAATTGTAGCAAGATAGCGAAAATTTGGGTGTTTCTTATCCCAACATTTTTTCATAACAAAAGTATGTCTAAGCGTAGCGAAAAGGGTGTCATGGGAAGTGTGGGAAATGCGCCCTTTGTCAATAAGTGATTGTTGAGAAAGCGTGGAATTGGAGGCCATCAAGTCCAATAAGAATCTATTTTGTATTTAGGAGCAAAGAGAGAATTATATCCAAATTATATAATTATGAAAGTGTGGAATTGATATTTTGTTTTTGAATTTGGGAAAAAAGAGTTATGCCCAAATTATATTATTGAAGTATTTTTCTTAACCGTGTAGCTCCCTTTGTTAGATATTTGAGAAACTGTTGTTTATTAAGTGTTGCTTTCTTTCTCAAAGATTTGCATATGAATATAAGTATGGTTGATCCTTTTAAGGTAGTGACTTATATACAAACATTCATAGCAATGTTGTGTAGTGTTGTTAAATTGGGTACTATATCTCTGGTCGAAGTAATATTCTTGATTTTGAAAGGATAAATTTCAGGTAATTTTTTCCCCTAAAAAACGTATTCTATTACACTACTTTGGCAAATACATTTGTAGAACTAATATTGCACCAAATTCTATATAAATTCCAAAGTTAAGCGTGCTTCATCGAGAGTGACACTAGGATAGATATCCCCTTGAAAAGTTCTCGTGACAAGGACGATAAAAAACACCGTAAACAACATTTATGAGAAACATTCCATTCCTCGTAGAGCTAAAATTATAGCTCAATTTATTTCTATTTCTATATAATTGTCCAACTGGTCATGGAGAAATTCTTGGAATAAGATTGATCTTTTTCTATTTATTTACTCACTCATCAAGTACCCCAATTTACTCACTCATCAAGTACCACAGTCAATTATTCAAAGTGCATCAACTAAAAGAAAACCTCAAATTAATTTTTTTTCTTTTTATTTACTTGTTAGTGGTCATAGGAACTTGTCCCTGACTTGGGTGGCATGAGAACCACCACAAGGATTCTGGATGGGAAGCTCACCAGGGTTCGAATCCAACGAGAACGTGCTTTAATAAGTTGAAAAAAATAAGTATGAAAAAATACTACGTTGTAATATAATCAATAGTACTTTAAAAAAATTCCAAGTTGTGTGACATTTGGAATTGCAATCCTAAAGCACAATCAGATAGCCTTAGCCAGACCTAACAAGAATCCCCTACACAATGTATCTATACACAGTTGAGTTGTTAAGCACAATCTCCCGTTAGTTGATTTATTGGGTCATTGCTCCAAACATATCACGGATGACACCAAGGTTAACACTGGCTAGTGTGTCACTAACAATTGGTTCTCACAAACATGACATCAATTGTCTGTGTGTGATTGTCTCAATCTTGGTGTCATCCCTGAAGTTAATTATTTATGTTTGGGTGTTCGACAGACTATTACCAGAGTATTAGCTGTCTACTACATCATCATGATCATCAACATCATCATCATGTGGTGAATAATTGTTAACCATGAACCGCCAGTTGTCTCCCTCCTCGATTTCCCACTGCCTCTTCAATTCTTTGATGGTTTTGGATGCTGCCGCGGCAATGGCAGGGTGACTATCTTCTGCAAGCCTCTGCACACAAAACAATCAAAAGGTTGTTCATAAATGGCAAATATTTCTAGCATAAGGAATCTTTCCAGACTAATTGCTCAGCTTTTGATTGACAGATGGTTCTACCAACAAATAAAGCTGATAAAAAGAACACTTTTACTAAAGGGACCCTTAGCACGCCAAAGCATATATGACTAAGTGGAGTTAGTGGAATACCTGCAAAGCTCCCATCCCTGCATTACCCAGAGTCCACATAGATGGTGCAGCCGATAGTGCATTAGCTAATGCTTTCCTACAGAGCAGAGNGGGGAGTAAAGAATCAAACACCTATATATAGATATAAAACAACAGCCCAGTATAATACCAACTCTGTTGGGGAGGTCAAGATGTATGTAGTCTCAAGGCTGTTTCGTTTAATGTTCCATTTTGATTTAATGTTCCATTTTGATTTACTCCATTATGTGCCCGAAACTAAAAGATTGTCAATATGACTCTAGAAGTCTAGCTAGGCATTACTATGCCCGTAGACGTCTGATGCCTTGACAAGAATCAAATGTTTGGTCTTACATCTTACTTCTAAAAATTCAATTTTCAGTCATATCAAAGCCATTTAGGGCTCCCTTTTGCTATAGTGTGTTGATAATTTGCACATAAATTTTCACTGAACTGCAACATGATGTCTAATATGGACCATTGTGGTATCATGACATTGCTGGGATTGTGGGATGGACAGTTTTTTTTACCAGTCCCAAAAATAGGACCACTTCGGTTTTAACATGGATTTTTATGAATACAAGCAAAATATGGTCCACAACTCCACATACAAAAAAAGACCTAATTTCGCCAATTCATTTATAAGAAGTAAGCGTAAAAGGGTGAAATGCGAACTAAAAAGTTGGTTGTGCTCAAATTAAGTGGATACGTAGTACGGAGTATTATTTATGGTACACAAAAAAAATTAAGTGGTCAACGGGAAAGAGGGAGTATTATAAAGAGTTGCAGGCAAACCTTGTATTCACGTCAGGAGAATTTGAGCACTCGGCCAATAGAGACACACTACTTTTACCATCCATGGCATCAAGATCTATTAGTGTGGCAACTAACAACTCCAGCTGCTCCAATAGAAGAAAAAAAATTAAACCAACTGATATCAAATGTTGCATGTCCACATCAATAATCAATTGTCTGATACATTTGAGTCAAGTATCTAAATGTAAGACAAATCTCCTTTGGCGGTGAGTTATGCCTAACTCAACATGGTGTCTTGTCCGATAGTTGTTTTTGTAGCGCCCATCCAAAGTTTGAAGAAGCCTATTTAGGGGTTGTTCAAGGTTTCTAGTGAGTTTAAGTGCAGTATATATTTGTGAGATAAAAACCTTATCTCTTGAGAATCATTGTTGGGTAAATAGTCAGCACAACTTAACAACATTAAAGGAAACCTCTTTAATTAATCTACTTATATAGATACCTCTTCAGGATCAGTGTAGTCAACAGCATCAGCTTCAGATAGGGCAGATGCTATATCCCAATAAGCTTCCTGTAATAAATTCACATAAGAACACTCTAATTAAGTTCAAAACTTGCCAATATAATCATCACATTTTGAGAAGTTTCTATGAACTTGGAACCTGTATAGCACTAATACGCTCAGCAGACATTTCTCCATGAAGAAATTCAAGACATTTCCCATTCTTCTCAAGTGTTATGTGCTGAGTCATCTTGTCGGCATCAAGAGAAATTCTATTCCTGTTACCCATAATAATGTGCCAAATATTACTCAGGAAATCCCTAATAAGATTATGCATTAATCACCATTAATTAGGCTGTCTTTGTTACTTAGAAAATGGTAGGAAAAGAAAAACATAAAACAAAGAAATTGGGTTTTTAGAATTTTAATATATTTAACCTCATGAGTATCTCTATAGAAATATTTTCATATTCTAGCATTTTCCATATTCCAAGATCCAGACTCATAAGGAACTTACAAATTGCTCATTTCGTTCAACATCATGTCATGAATGTTTTTGATAAACTGAAAAGGCAGAAAGAAAAATATGAGGATCATGAATGCTTAATACTTGGAATTCACGTAGTAATTTTATGTGTAACAATAACACCTCCAAAGCCATTAGAGCATCTCCCAATGCACGTTGCTTGGCAACAAAATCAGCACGGCGCAAATCAGCCTGAGTATCAGGAAAGATAAATATGTATTTCTTTGAATATCATTGCATTGCAATTTCATATAGAGATACTTGTGAACACTTCCATAGAAACAGGCTATTTGCAAATACAAATGTACAATAGTAGTAACTAGTAAAAAAGTTTCAACCCCTGATTGTGAAAAATAAACTTCCCTGTGTCAGGGGCAAACCTAGAACATATGTTTAAAAGGGGCATCATCCCAAAAAAATAAAATAATAATAAAAGGATTAGGTATTATTTATTGGAACGGTTAAAATGATACCCAAAGTGAGTGTCATATTATAACACTGGCCCTCTACGGTGCTCCGTTCAAAAAATTGATGGTTCCTATCCCCCAAAACCCCACATCATCCACCCCCAATCGACGATTGGTGGCAGTAAATACTAAATGGGTTCACCCCAGCCTTTCCTTAAAAAAATGAGGAATAAACTATGGTTAATAAAGAGTTTGATGTTAATGAAAATGATGGGAAAGGGAAACCTCCAAGGCGCCATCACTCCAATGCCTATCTGCAGCATTTTTCAGTCTTGATTCAGCTTTGTTCTTGAGAATCTGATGAGAAATAGCTATCATGCATTTTTATCTAGACTCTAGAACCAGGAATAGCTTGAAGGAAAAAAGAATCATACTGTGGCAACATGATGAAGCCTTTCAGCTTTCTTCTTGACATCATGGTCAATTTTTTCAGTGTCTTCTCTAGCCCGGGCTACCAATGAAAAAAAAGTAGAAAATGACTAAATTATACGCGTTCCGTTGCCAAAAAACAGTAGAACATATCCCCAAAAAATAGTCCCTTTTCATAAAATGCAGCTAATTTTTCATATAATTCGCCAAAATAAAGTAACAAACTAGTTCGATGTGATACATTTAGGTAAACACGCACACACACACAGTCACACACATACACCCTTTCACGCACGCACACACACTGACACACACACACTCTCTCTAAGCTTGTGCACCAAAATTTAAGAATTTTGCATTGACCAAACAGAAGTTATACATTGACCAAACATGACTCTTTTTAGGACAGACAAGTAATGTGAAAGCTTGAGAGATCTTGAAGAAAAAGATCCCTACCATCAACCTTAAGAAATTCAGAACCAAGAAAAGCAATGTCTTGGCGGGCACGAGCATCCAACGTCATTATGCCACTGTTAAATGAGAAATGCAAACATCAAATTACTAACTCTTCTGTATAATACAACTAATACAAGATAATATATGGCACATGAATTACCGATAAAGCAATATGATGTCATTTTTAGCCCTTTCATTCACATATTTTGCATCATTGTAAACAAACTTGCAAGCTTCAGCTAATCCCTGACTTGCATTAATATGTTTTCCAAGCAGGGCTAGATGTTTCTCCTCTCGTTGCATACTGATTCAGTTTTAAAAAACAATCTCTGTCAGACTAGACTTCAATTCAAAGAGGTAAGAACAAAAAATTTACTACTCCCTATTAGACAATAAAATAGCACAAGGAACCATCAAAGTCTAGAAAACTTAAAGGCGAAAAGCCTGGAATTTTATCAGAAAGGAAAGTTACTATTTTTTTCTTTATCAAAACGGTAAACTATGATGGTAAAGAATTATGATAGCAATTTTCAAATTATTGGTTAAATTATTTATCACAGACAACTTTCTATACAACACCGAACCCATTTACAACAATCCATAATGCTGTTTTTAGTAATTTTTGGTCTTTGATTTATTACTCTATGGGTATGTTTTTAGGTTATATTTTTCAAGGATTTTGACTTTTGAGGGGAAAGGGTTTTTTTTAATTTTAAAATTATTCCTATTGGTTCATGTAGCTGACCCTTTTCCGTCATCTATGATGGAGCCAAAAATTCACTATTTTTTGGCTTTGGGGTACGATGGAATAAAGCAAAATGGCTTTTTAAACCGGTTGCACTTCTTTTAATAGTGAAGTAGCAGTTAGTTAATGCAGCTTTGGAAGCTCATCATGGGTCATCTAGAAACAACAGCTCCGGTGCTCCATGTTTTAAACATTGAGGCCAGGTTGCATACATCCGGGCCCCCTACCCCTTAATGGACAGGAGCCTTTGAGGCACTAGGGTAATGTTGTCGTTGTTCAAACTATATTAACTTTTCATTTTACTCCGTATATCTTTTGTTTGCAAATATTACCAGCACTGCTTTCTTGAAATGAAAAAATAACCCTTCCCTCCAAATGCCTCCATAATCTACCCCCAAACATACCCAACAGTATACTTCCTTGTATATGTAGAAGAAGTTCAATCTTGAGGAATCATTATTGAGTATTGAGAAACTCATACCTGGATGTGTCTGAACAATCATGATACTCCCTGACACATTCTTTTGTTTCAGCATGGTGAGTTTCAGTAGAATGGCACAATAGAGAAGATCCTTGGGTAGCAGCATTTTGTTTTCTATAAGCTCGCCAGAAGCTTTGTTTGTTATGCCCATTAGCTTGGGTTTTGGCATATATTTTGAGACGCTGAGGTATTATTGAAGAAGAATAGATAATTCCATTAGTTTTTGCCATAGTGTATAGATCTTGCTCGAAGAAGATACAAGCTGAAGAGGATCAGGCCGAGGAGCAAAGATTTTCAAGAAAATGTGGAGTCAAGGAACCTAAACCAAAAGAAATCTAGTTAAAGTGTGATTTATCTTTTTAAACAAATAGAAAGAAAGTAGTTGTACTAAGGCTATATCTGGAACCCCGAAAATGGCAGGGAAAAGAAACAGATGCGGAGGTTTTGTTTGGTAGCTTTGGGTTTGATCCATTTCACGGAGTAAGGCATTTAGGGTAACTGATTAGTTCAATTTTAACACCACTCAACTCAAATATGGCCAAATTGAAATGGGTCTTCTTTTTTAGTGATTGGAACTAATAACTTCAATGTAAATGACTCCACAAAAGTGATTAAATGCAAGGAATCCATTAAGCTTGCATATTTGCAGTGAATTTTATATGTATAAAGAGATTGAACTGAAAATGACAAATGCTGCAATAACCTAACATACAATTGCTGATCAGATGGTGAGCTCTTCTCAGAAACAGTCTCTCTACTCACATTGGTAGATATACCAGACATGCTCGGGTTTGGTTTGCTGATCAGATAAATGTGAAATTACAAGGGTTTAATGTAAACTATTGATGCTATAGAAGCTAAGATCGACAATTTAGTTGTCCCAAACATATATAGTGGCGATGAAGTTCTAACAAAGCCGAATTAATCAACAAATCTCACAGAAATGAGTTCTAGAAGAAAATAAGAAATAGAAAAGGGAAATCGAATAGAACAGTGGAAGAGAAGGGAAGAATTCAGTTACCTGTTTCCGCTGAAGCGGGGAAGAAAGGCGAGGAATGGATCGTGGAGAAGAAGAAGAAGAGGAATCGAAATGATTTGAAGCGACAGCGTGGCTTTGTGGCTCTCCGATTGCCAGCAGCTCTCATGTCCCTCCGGCCTCCGCCGTGCGGTCCATGCGGCCCCCGGGAGATAGGGACCTATGGGCAATGAATGAATGAAATGTCAGACTGCACGCAACTAATCATAGCAATTCGCACAGATGTTCCCACTTCCCACATTTTGGTTTTCAACCAAATATCTTTAAATATATTTTTAAATATATTTTAGTGCACTGAAGTGACAGAATTTGAATAAAATTAAGAGTTTAAATTCTATAAAATTGATTTAGGTGAAATTCAATTTCTTGATTCTAATTCTTTTTTTCACTATCAATTTCAAATCTACGTATTTTTATGCTACCAAACAGAAGAATTGTAATTGTTGTCCTCAATTCTATAGTTCAAATTTCGTGTACAAAACAAAGCCTAGGACTATATCCCAAATTATCCACCAAAGTTATGCACCAAAATTTCGATAGTTCATACGACGTAAAATGTTAGTGCAATCAAAAAAATTTACTATGTCAGTGTAAAATATCACACAAGAACAAAAAGAAGGTACATATTTGTGGTATGCATGTTAGGGTACAGCTTTTGGTATGCAAGTAGTTTAGTTCTTTGAATATTCTTATTTTTTCTTTCTTTTTCTTATATTTAAAAAATTCACAAAGAAGCATTGACATTGTCCAGTGTCATATATCCAACTACAAGTCCATAAAAAAATATACTCCATCCGTCCAACAAAAATTTTCTCCATTCTTTTTTGATTCGTCCCAATTTTTTTTTATTTCTATTAAAAAATTCACTTTTACCCCTACTAATTCTTAACATACTTATCACATGACATTTTTCGCTACTAATTTATTTATCACATCTACTTTTACCTATCACATCCAATGATATTTTTGAAAAGTCAACACCAAAATACACTCATCTTAAAATCCCTTAAAAATCAAAGCAAGAAATGCTTTGTAGGACGAAAGGAGTATGTGAGAAGGTTCATATTACACGTGTGGAACTTATGACCAGGATAACACGACTCTTATAAATATAATTACTTGACGAAAAAGTAGTGTAAAAAAAGAATAATCATGAAACAGCAATCGCTACTTGTCATTGCTAGGTTTTGGATCATCTGTCCCTTCTCCTTGTCACAACTCCCTGTCCCACCACCCATATTTTAACACATAAATCACCCCACCCCTAAATCAACTAATACTCTCTTTTTTCTCGAAATGTTTTACATTTTATGTAAAACGAAATAGATTTTCAAATATTTAAAATTCATTTTATTTAAAGATTAGTATAGAAATTAAAGAAATAAAAGTTACATATTTATTACTACGTTAACATTTTTACAAAATTAGAATTGACAAGAATATTTTTTATTTTATTAAATAACAAATCAAAACGTACAAATAAAACTTTTTTTATATCTTTTAAATAGTGAAAAATATAATTCTTTTGACAACTATAAACCCACTATTGGGTCAGGTGAGAGGACAAAGGATCCATCCAAAGCCCACTGCTTGGCGGTTCAAAACCGCAGGACGATCTTCACCTCCATCGGCTTCTATGCGATCAGGTTTGCGTTTTTTCATCAATCGCTTCCATATCTATACGGTGTTACATATGAAAATTTCGAAACCCACTTAAATCTTTTGGTTCATATTCGTTTCACATTTCCAAGTTTTTCATATTTTCCCCAAATATCTTTGAAATCCTGATAAAGACTAGAAAAGAAAAAGAAGAATCCCTTCTTGAGTATTACTAAACTCTGAGTTAGTGAAGAATGTGCAGAAAATTTCATCTATTGGGTATGTTTTATGCTTCTCTAGGTGTTTTCTACCTTTTGTTGAGAATGGGTACACTTTATTCAAATGTTTTTAAAGAATTGGTAGATTGATTATAACATTGCTATGAACACCAAATACAGTTGTGCGTGTGGTTCATAAATTCATTGGAATTTAAGGGTGGACAGATTGTTGGAATTGAAGACTTCTTTGTTGTTGAAGACTGAAGAGGAAGAGCATTAGTAAAACAATTTTTTGTATTGAATACAAATGTGAGTGCATTTCTCTGTCATGTTTCTGATATTATCTGCATTTTCATGGACTTATTTATTTAAGATGAAGAATTGAATCAAAGGTTCTACTCTGCTAGCCAATCACAAAAAAAAATCAATTAAGATCCGTTTTAGCCCGAAATCCCGGAATGAAATTCCCCAAAAGATTAGATTTTGATGACATTACTAGCTTCTTTTTGCCTGTAATGATCATAAGCCAATTACAATTTAGACATTCAGTTATGTGTTTTTTGTCTCTCATATGAGGAAACCACAATAGTGAAACTCGCATTTAGATTGTTATTCGGTAACCTTAATTTGCTTCCCACACTCTTCTTTGTGTGTTCGTGGAATGAATGGTTCCCGAGAACAAATCCCATGTCCCAAAAAAGCTATACCACCCTCATGTCCCACTCTCCACATGCTGCCACGTCGCACACCAACGAAGTGGGACCACATTTTTGTGCTGTGTAACAATATATGAAGGCTGGAACACGAGGGTGAGACATCATATTTGGGACATGGGATTCCTTGCCATGATTCGACAACATTGTCTTCAAGTGATTCTAATTAAGATTGTCCGTGTGACTCAGGGACAAAAAAACCAAGCTATTCGAGGGGGCATAGAAAAACAAAATGACTTCTTTTTCTTATTCTTTGAGTGTGACTTCGCCTATCTTCTTCAACTCGTACAAGTATTGCTCAGTTCCATTCACAAGAACTGGCCAAGGAAGAAGATTAAGGGCACCCGTGCCAAGACCAAAACCCAGACTATTGGTTTGGGCTGTCCAAGAGAACCAAGGGCCTAGACGGTTAGTTGACATCATTCGTGTTTTGCCAGGTGCTTCTAGGAATTATTTCAGGAGTCCTTCGCGAAGGGCACTTTTTGGGGGCATAGCTTTGCTGGGAGGGTTTTACGTGGCCCAGACGATCTCACTCTCATTTGGAGCTTTAGGGGTCAACGACGTGGTTGCTGCCGTGGTTTGTGTTTTGATCACTGAGTATGTGACCAGGTTCTATTATACTCAGCCTAAGCTCACTTTTCCGGTTGCCCTTTTGAACAATTTTAAGATGGGGTTTACGTACGGTCTCTTCATCGACGCTTTCAAACTCGCCAGTTAGTTTTCATTGTACATTGATGTGTGGCCTTTTCTCTCTTTTCCAATTTTCACATTTTGGATACTATGATGATTGTTTGATACTCACTCCTGTCCGGATTTAGTTGCTGCCTTTTTTAAAAAATCATTTTTTTGTAGAAATGAGTTTTACAAATCTTTCAAACGAGTTTGTCGATTATTTATGTCAACAATGTTAGCTATGTTAGCTTTTGAATAAATTTTAAAACGTCAAAACTAAATGTCACCGTTAAGTAGTATTTTTAACAACATTACAAATAGATGAAACAACGAAAGAAAGGATGAAACGGAGCCTTAATGAACCCAATTAAATTATACTATAATTAGATATACTTTTTTCACATATATGGTCAAATAGTGACACAAGTTGATATAAAAAATAAATTGTGCAAACTATTTTGGGAGGGAGGTGTAAACAATAAGAATATAGTCTGGGTATTAGCCTTTTTGCTTACCTTGCCTAAAACTTTACATGACTTTCTTTCTACTTGCCCCCAAACATTTTGATAAAGAAATACCCCTCCTTAATTTATTCTTTTCATTTGAAAAAAAACGTGCAACAAAAAAATTTTATTTTATTAAAAGATTAATGAAAGCATACACATAAGTATAAGTTATCGAGAAATTGTAATAGTGATTGGAAAATTAATTTGGGACAGAATGAGCACTATAGCGTGTGGAGCAAGACAAATAGCAAGTGACACATGTGGTGATAGAACTCCATTTAAGCTTACAATGTAGAAAAACCTAAGAGAAGCCATATACAAATGTGATTTACCTATTTGAACGACATGTAAAATTTCATAATTTTAAAAATGGTTTTAATTATAAATTGATATAGAAATAAAAATAAAAGTTACACATTTAAAAATTACATCAAAAATTCTACAAAACAGGAGGTGATAATTGTTTATTTTATCAAATGATTAATAAAAACATGCAAACAAACTAAAGTTATCGAGTGACCATAATAATAACGAGGTAAATCATTCTGGATCGGAGGGAGTACATAATGATAATGCTACTTTGACTATGACACATAATGATAATGGTGCTTTCCCAGAGGCTTGATGATTGGGAGTCATGAGATCTCGTTTATTTAGTTGTGATTACATTTATCGGTATTCATAGCTCATACTCTAAATAAAATGAACATTCAAAATATGCTCTCAAATTCATTCTTCAAAATCATTAATCTCTCTTATACACTTTTTTAAGATAAGGAGTAATATAATTTAATCCGAAAGTTTTTTTCGCAAGACACGTCTAATATAATTATTTTTGTATTATTCTACAATAAAATTTATGATCAATTTATGATCAGAGTTCAAACCAAGTGAATAATATCGGATGGAGGGTATGTATTTTTTTATCCTTAAATTAAATTTCATTCATTTATATTTACTAATTTCAGAAAAAAATAAAAACTCCGTATTATTTATGATTGAATTTTCTGAAGTTAAGAGTGCATATAAGAAAGAATAATTTAATTCTATTACATCTCATTAAAAAGAAAAATTAAAATTCAATTGATAAGCATAAAGTGCTAATTTTTATGGATTTTATAAAAAAGTGAATACGAGTATTATTTATGCTTAAATTTTGTGAAGAAAATTGTGCATTTTATTATATAAGAAAATATGGTGTAATAATTTAGTTATACCACATCCAACCAATAAAAAATTAAAATTCTGTTGAATACATATAAGATCCTACGCGGAGACTCGTGAGGTCCCGAGACTGTGTAGAGTTCAACGTGAGTCCGCCTCTTATGAATGATAATATATGCTATGCGGAACCATCTCTTTCCGTTACAAATATATATAAATCCGTGTGCTAATTTTAGACGGATAAAAATCAAATTTAATCGGGCGATAGATTTTATTAGATGAAGATGGAGGGTCAAGATGGACAATAAAGGTTGTAAAAGTCAATGTTCTACTCAGGTAATTAAGAATAAGCTCTCTTTCCTTCCTTTTCCCACACCGTTCTTTACCACAACCCGCTTTGTTCTTTATAAATGACCGCCACAAAGAGACCTTCGCCAACGAATTTAATGTTGACACGGTAAAAATTCTCTCATTTAGGGCATGGGGGAAAAACTGAAAAAATTTATATTCATAACAATAGAGCTGTTATGAATAGAATATTTTCAGTTTCTCCCTCTTTGACCCTCAATGGAATTGCTTGCCTTGCATTTTTTTCATATTTTTTCTACAATAGAGCATTTATTTTATTTTACATACTTGGTTCCTTTTTGGGCAAGAACATACATATTTCATCATTGTATTTATGATGAAAGTATGATTTGAGACATAGAGAATTAAGAGTAAGACTTTTTCTTTCTACATGCCCTAAACATTCAGGATCAAGAAATACCAGAGTATATGGGGGCAAGTCAAATAGTGAGTGTAGTAAGCAAGTGACATGTGTGATATAAACCCATTTAAGCTTACAATGTACCAAAAAACACTAGGAGAGGCCATATACATGATGATAATGTTACTTTGATTATGACACCACGAGTGAGACGTTAATACAGTCATTATGACACCGGTAGTGTCATCCGTGGTGTGACTATAGCATAACCTTAGACATAAAGACTAACCTCTACTCAGCATTTTCATTTGGACCATGTTAGGAATCCACCACGATTGCCCCCATTTATATACACATAGACATTAATCATCATCTGTGGACACAGACGATTATTGTCTGTATATGTATAAAATTCATCTGTGATTGTCATCAATGGGGACACCCGCGGTGGGTTTTTAGCATTCTTCTTTTCATTTTGCTCTACAACTCTTCAAATTGAATTGAGAACCCGCAACGACAACGCTTCATTCGAGTTCCATCATCATCATCATCATCCTCTAGGAAGAACACATGCTCATGTTCGTGTTGGTCTTCTTCTTCTTTTGAGGCTAACAATGGCAGCTTCTTCTCCATCTTCTCTTGTTTCCTTTCATGTGGACGAATGCTCGTAGCCTTCATACTCATTGTTGAGCTTTCGCTGGGGTTTTGAGCGTCCGACGGGCCCCCACTTGCGTAGGCATTGTTTAACCTTTGTCGTGTTACTATGGATGAGAGGAGTTGATACCACTTTGAAAGCGCTTGCGCTTCTCTTCTTCGTCTCTCCTCTGCTTTTCTTCTCTCTTCCTCTTCTCCATATGCCTGACACAAATAAATGCAACCATGCAAAAGTGATCAATTTGTGGTTTTGGTGAAAAAAACAAACCGAATCATAGGAGACGATGAGAAGCACTGATATCAATGATATGAACTGTGGGTGAAAACACGGTGATTGCATTATGGGTAACAATGTTTGACTGAAATTATCTTCAAATCAATTTATATGAAAATTAGGGTAGAAATAAAAAACAAAATGTATACAAAGTATATTCAAAAACGACGTCAAAAGTTCTACACCTTATGACAAAATTGAACTTTTGAAAAACGTCCAACCAAATGGCTCCTAAAAGGCTTGCTGGAGTACAAAATAAGAAGTGACAAGACTATACTACGGGCATTATTTTATCAAATGAATAATTTCCACTTGATTACCTCTAAAATTGCATCTTTGAACTCAGCACACACCACAATCCCCTCAAACAGAGGGACAGAACGACCGTTGCGGAAGTCAAAGCCAACCATGGCAGGTGCATAATCTATTTCTAGTCTTTTTGCCACCAGAGAGATTCTTGGCAACGGCAAATGCACAGTTCCTGGAGGCAGGCACTTTTCTGACCAGACATCAACTTGACCTCGTTCGTTCTGAAGTCAATGGACATGAAGAAGAAGGTGAATCAATAACAAGATTTTACAGCAAGCCTTTAAGGGGCCATTTGGTTGATGGACAACTACATGAAAATAAAATTGAGGATAATTCAAAGGAATAAAAACAAAGAGTCATCTTCCAGATATTTTATCACACTAATTTTACTTACGGACTATTTACTTCTAGAGCAAAGATCTTTTTACACCAAGCCATTTGAGGGATCTAGGGTGCTCCATTGGAGCCTGAAGTGGGTCCTACCCTCCCTAATCCCATGCCCAACCCCGGGAAAATGCCGGAATCTACAGTAAAATTTGGCATTGTTCGGGGAGCAACTGTGCCGACTGGGGGTTGTGGGGCTAGTGTTGGAAATTAAACACACAACACACACAAATATCTGCGAGAAACGAGAGAAAACGGAACACAAACGACACACAAGAATTTAACGTGGTTCGGTTTCCCTAATCCACGGCTGCAACAGGAGGAATTTCTTATTCACTTGTGGTGTCGATTACAAGTACAAGTATGCAATATATATAGGAAGAGCGCAACTAGGGTTACAACAAACGGGCCGGGCCAACAAGTCAAGCCCAAGCCTCCACAAACCCAACATTCTCCCACTTGGAGGCTTGATAGTCATCAACTGTCATCCGCCGCGATTGCTTGTACATCGAGTAATCTTCCTCAGCTCTCCTGTTGCAGCGGCCCTCTCATCAGACAACTGAAAGGCTCGTTGAAGCTCTCCCAAGCTCCAACACATCAGTCATGACTAAATCTGCCACTGACTCGTCCTCGGTCCCTACCGGCTCCCACTGCAGACGCACACTGCCGGATCCTGGAACATCCTGAGAACAAACACTCTCCATACTCAGCAAGAAAATTTCTGGAGATGTTCCAACAGCTGGAATACTGGTTCTCCTGACCCACTGTCTTCTAGGCAACTTGGCTGAAGCGCCTCTTGAGCTCCCACTGCCATAAATACCTCTGACTGGCCTCCTTGAACCTTTCCTTGCTCGTTCATCCCGAGTCTGACCTGTGGCATTAGGTTTCTCTCTTGCATAGACAACCTTATTCTGCCCACAAGACTCTGTGAACCGAACTTTGTTTCTCTTCTGAACTGGGGCGGTCACTCCCTCAGATGGTAACTCGACCAAATACAACGAACCACTCTTCCTTCCGCGGGCCATGACAAGATTTCCCTTCACGACCTTCCACTGCCCATCTCTGAACTTCACCTCGTGTCCCTGTTCGTCCAACTGCCTGACAGAAATCAAACTTTTCTTCAAGGCTGGAACCACTCTAACATCCTTCAAAGTCCAGAAACCGACTGAGGTCTTCAACACCATGTCACCCATGCCCGTCACCTCAAGAGCACTGTCGTCCGCTAGTCGTACCTTTCCAAAGTCCCCAACAACCAGATTCTGCAATGCTTCA